TTTCTGCGTGGGGCCTCTATTATTCTGGCCATCTGGTGGTGTCCTTTCCAAAGATGGCCATTTTACCTGCCTTCCTGTGTTTGCTTATATATATATCTGGTGTTCACAATGCATTGACCACTGGGTTAATCTGAATGTTTGGATAATTAATTTTAAGTTCTTTTCTTCTTCTAATGGTCAAGATGGCCCAATATCGAAAACCAAATGTGTTTTCACTAGAGTTTATTTAAATAGATGCACTATTTCCTGACTTCTTCCAGTCGCAGTTGAAAGAACTGCCACTCCCAAGTCCTGGCGACTGATTCATGAGTAATTCTCTCTCTATAATGACATTTCTCAGAAGTACCACCTTTTGTGATGAATGTCTGTTTTGATCGCTATATTACCTTGGCAACATTATTAAATTTTAGGAACTCAATATCCAGACTTGTTCGCTCACCGCAGCAACTCATCGGTGGATGGCTTGCGTTTCAATGAAATTCAACACCACGTAAGTTACTATGCTCAATTTTTTTTTGAAATCACTACCAATCATGCCAACTAAATTTGAAAATTTTGCATTTTAAGCTCAATTATAAATTTAATGTAGAACTTTTCTAACTAAAATTTTACACTAGTTACTGAGTTTTAGTGGACGTAGGCTTGTGTACTCGTGAGCAATTTTACACTACTTATCTCTGCTATCCATAGAAAGAGAACAAGAAACCGCTCATCTGGAGATTCCGGAGAGAGCAGTTTGTTTGGATTGCCACTTACCTTTCTAACTTTAATTAGCGAACAATTGAGACAATTGTCTTGAACATTTACTTTACCTATATCAAACTTATTTAATTCGTTAATTTTATGTTGGTGAAAAAACGAGCCTCGATCCACAGTACCTCTTTAAAAATGGAGGGATTGTTTGATTACCGCTCTGTGGAATGTAAAATCCGATTTTTTGAATTTCCCTAATCTTTGAATGCCTCATAAGACTTCCATCAAACAAAGTATTATTTATTTATTTATTTATATCAAATGGCAGGGGTCTTGATGGTTATCATTAGCCCTTTAGTTGACTTCAGGCTTCACAGAGGGGAAGGAACATCAAAGTAAAAAAGTCAAGAGGGGGGAAGAAACAGAAGGGTGTTTCAAAGACGAAGGTAGAAAAGGTAGAAAAAAGATGAGGTGAGTACTGTGAAAGTAGTCGAATATGACATACAGTGGGGTGATGGTAGTTTGAAGTGAGAAGTCAACTGCCGGTTTATAGACTTTTTGCCGTATGTGTATACGTTGCCCAGGGTGCACCACGTGGTGGTAAGTCTATCGCACACCCCGAGAAAGAAAAGTAAGATTGGAAAGGAAAGCGACATTAAAAAGTGGATGATAAGGGAGAAACGTCAGTACTGAGCTAGTGGAACCCAAGTTGAGAGAAATCGTGTTGATTCAAGTTTGAAGGCTGATTTAGGTCACTTAATTTGTTTAGTTACCGTCAATCAAAATAATCTAGAGAACGAGCCTATATGCAGATAACATAGAGTGTGTACTCTTCTTCCTATATTTTACCAAATTGATTAAAAAAGAAGAGCTATTGAATTTAGAATACTGATTAGATTGTTGCCAATCTAGTAATATAGCAGCGACGAGAAATCGTTTATAGGCATGAAAGTGGGAGAATGCCAGGTTTTAAATTTATTTTTAGAATAATTAACTCTTCCCAGAGAATTTTAAGAATTCTGCTTTGAACATCGAAAAAAACTATTTCTAACCCTTATCAGAAACCAAATTAGTGTCCTATATGATGCACTTTAAATTGCCACCATCGTCAAAAGTGGAATGCCAGTTTGTTCGATGACTTTAAATGGTGTAAAATATTATTAGGGACTTTAGTTAATGGCATGATATAACCTGAAATTTTGTTAAGATAACGTATAGAATACATGTGCTGTAAATGGACCATCATTTGATAAAACAGAACGATTTTCGGATTTTTTTGTTTTTAAAAGTTATTGAAAATTTCGGAACGATATCCAATATTTTAAAGTTTATCTTTTATCGTAGTAAATATAAGAGTAATTTTTAATTTTTGTTTGTTCTTTCCGATCATGATAACAAAGGACATTTAACCTTAATTAACTGAAAGCTTGGTTTTATCGAAACCTTAAATGGGTAAACCTTAATATTTATTGATGGCAAAATTTGAACATGTTTTAAAAATTCGTGTTAACTTTAAGTGGAAGGTTTCCACTAGAAATATATCACCTTTTAACGTTCTATGATGAAAAATATAGAAGCATAGCATGATATTATTCGCCTTTTGAAACCATTTCCTATTTATTTACTTCTCTTTTTATTAATCCATTCATTTGCTTTGATAAAATGTAATATTTTACAATATCATTAATTTTTAATCTCCGAATTAACGAAAATTAGTAATACAACCCTATACAAAGAATCAGCTATCAACAGCAAATTAACTTAGATTATAATAGCTGCAGTTGAATATTAATTTCATGAGGTCTTTTCGCCATTTCCTCTGGAAATATTTGAAGTTGCACTAAAGAAATAACTAAATAAAAGTAGGCATAACTTGAACTACCATTTAATCACACACAACAAAACAACTATCCTAAGGAATTTTAAGGAGTTATATAGACTAATCTCCTTATCTGCAGCCTGATGTGGTTGATGATGGGTTTGAAACATGACTTTTGATCTCTATGTAATACACATGCAAATAAATTTGAAGGAACATTTAAAATTAGAAAAATAGAGAAGAGATTTAAGACCACATTATGGAAATGAATAAACTCAGTTCCACCAGCACCTGGGGCACATATAATTCTATTGTAATCTAAATTCATATTCATAATTAATAACAAAGTAAAAATAAACTGATTATTCATTGTTCCTTAAAAGCAGTTTTCAAAATAAGCAAAGACTAGCATTTATAATCAAAAATGATATCAAATTAAATCATTGCTGAAGTAATTTACAGAGTATCATTAACATAAATTAAATCTAGGAAAAAGGCATATCAGCTAATTATAACTGCACATACTAGAGTTTCAGCAGACTAAATCACTATCGTTGAAAATTTTATAAAAAAACTACTTAAGTCTGTATTAAATATATTAACGCAACAATTTTAGATAATATCTAATCCGAAATATCCTACTCTAAAGGGCAACAAATGAACAAAAAACGACATTTAGACTGACATGTTTGAAATCTTATGAAAACACAGGCTCAATGTATATCGAAATATTATAATTTTTCATATTCATACAGGATTAATGATTATATAATCAAACTAAATTAGCGAATATCATGAGACGATGGCTATTGTAAACACATTCTTGTAAAACTATCAATTTAGGAATGCTTTACTGAATTTATATATAAAGAAATAACATAAATTCACCACATTATTTGTTATTTGTTATTTTATATAATTAATATGCTTGAAAATATATGGTTTATAAATCTGAACACACGTATTTGTTCAATTATAACATTTGTTATTAATAATTGAGAGAATCAAGAAACATCCTTTAAAAAATTAAAACCATTTACAGATTTTATTTTAAAACAAAACACATTTTCTGAAAAATATTTTATAACTTTAAACTTTATTTATTTTTTTAACTCATTTATTATATTGAACCAAAATTACGCTGCCGCCACTTTAGAACCTGCGAACATGTCCAAGCGAGGTGGTTTTTGTCCTCCTTATTATTGCTCAAAAACTATCTTTCGGTTCTGTAATCTGCTTTATTTTTAAGGAAGGGGTGGAAGCTCAGGAGGCAAGTTTAGGATTACTCTCGCTCTTCCAACTGGCGCCGTTATCAATTGCGCGGACAATACTGGTGCCAAAAATCTCTATGTGATCGCCGTGTTCGGTGTAAGGGGTCGTCTTAATCGTCTCCCCTCTGCGGCTACCGGCGATTCTATTGTATGTTCTGTTAAAAAGGGAAAGCCCGAACTTCGTAAGAAGGTTTGGCAAGCTGTGGTCATACGACAACGGAAAGCGTTTCATCGGAAAGATGGAACGTTTATCTACTTCGAAGACAATGCGGGTGTAATTATAAAGTCCAATGGCGAAATGAAAGGTTAGTATATTTGCTTATTATTTTTTGCAAGAAATAATTGCGCTAAATGTTTATTTAGCGTCCAGACAACTTGCTAAATGTATTTGAATTGGAACGTAGCTTTGCATACGTCTAAGTCATATTCAATTAATACTTGTCTTTTGAATAACATCTCATTGGGTTTTAAATGTCTTCAGGTTCCGCAATAACCGGTCCCGTCGCTAAGGAGTGCGCCGACATGTGGCCTAAAATCGCATCAAGCGCAGGATCTATCCATTAAACATACTTGTATGATAATTGTTGAAGTTAAAGCGTATTTGATGGAACCGTAAATGCTTTTTTATTTTTATTGGGTTGAATAAGGTAGGTACTTGTCGTGTCTTAAGTATGCTTCGATACTAATCGGGCTTTGCTAATTTTGATTTGAACTTTCACAATGTATGATATTTAATTAGTTGGTGATTGTTTTGCTTTTTCATTATGGAACTAACTTTAAGCCAATTTTGGCTAGCCATAGGTGGGTACTACCTAAGTTGGGTTCGCCATTCAATCGGTTGAAATTTCGTTTGCTATCTACTTGGGCACCTGTGGTTAGATTTCGCATATCGAGCATTCAGACTAGTTAACGCAGGTATACTGCTCGTCTTAGCTATTTTTTGTCGCAATATCGATTTGGGGTCGGTGTAAGTGAATAAACTGGTAAGCATTTTCATAGGGACGCTTCCAGGCTTGGTCCAGTACAAGAATAGTAAAAGTATATCAATAAACGAACTTTTGGGTCCGGTAATTACGTCGATTTCCGACTGAGCACTTGGTGCTGCTGAAAGCATTGGCCTAGTGGTTAACGCTCTATAATGAAATTCTTGTTTTTGTAGCCAAGGTTACTACGAGATGTTTCACCCTGAACCTTTTTTTCTGTAATAGTGCATTCAATTGCGCCTTTTCGTTTTGCATATCTCTTTTTTAAGAAAGCCCAAGGTGGGTTAACATCATAGGGACTAGTCTTCTTGATGTTTTTGAATATTCATATTCGATATTTATATAATGGCGAGTGCGCGTGTGCGTGCTAGCACCTATTGGGGTGTGCGATAGACTTACCTAGACGTGGTGCACCCTGGGCAACGTATACACGGCAAAAGAGTCCGTGGTGCACCCTGGGCAACGTACACTCACACCTTACCTCCACGTGGTGCACCCTGGGCAACGTATTCTCATTCGGCTACCTCCACGTGGTGCACCCTGGGCAATGTATACTCATACACCTCCACGTGGTGCACCCTGGGCAACGTATACTCACGATAGACTTACCTCCAGGTGGTGCACCCTGGACAACGTATACTCAAACGGCACGTGGTGCACCCTGGGCAACGTATACTCATACGGCTCCACGTGGTGCACCCTGGGCAACGTTTACTCATACGGCTCCACGTGGTGCACCCTGGGCAACGTATACTCATAAGGCACCACGTGGTGCACCCTGGGCAACGTGTACTCATACGGCAAGTAAGTCTATCACGTGGTGCACCCTGGGCAACGTATACTCATACGGCAAACAAACTGGTGCACCCTGGGCAACGTATACACGGCAAAAGAGTCCGGGTGCACCCTGGGCAACGTATACTCATACAGCAAAAATCCTCCACGTGGTGCACCCTGGCCAACGTATAATCATACGGTCTTACCTCCACGTGGCGCACCCTGGGCAATGTATACTACACCTTACCTCCACGTGGTGCACCCTGGGCAACGTATTCTCATTCGGCTACCTCCACGTGGTGCACCCTGGGCAATGTATACTCATACACCTCCACGTGGTGCACCCTGGGCAACGTATACTCACGATAGACTTACCTCCAGGTGGTGCACCCTGGACAACGTATACTCAAATGACATACCTCCACGTGGTGCACCCTGGGCAACGTATACTCATGTGACAAAAAAGTCTATAAACCGGCAGTTGACTTCTGAGTTCAAGCTATAAAAAAGTCTATTATTCGGCAGTTGACTTCTGACTTCAAATTACCATGACTTCTATTAACCGGCATTTGACTTCTGACTTCAAAATACCATAGCACAACTGCGGCAGTTGACTTCTGACTTCAAAATACCATGGCCCGACTGCTTGTCATACTCGACCCCTTCAAAATACCATGGCACGACTGCTTGTCATATTCGACCGCTTTCACAGTACTCATCTTACCTTCTCTCTGCTTTTGGGTCTGTCTCTTTTACATCTGTGAATCACTCTTCTGTTCCCCACCCTTCTGCCTCTTTTACATCTGTGAATCGCTCTTCTGTTCCTCGTCTGCCCTCTTTTACATCTGTGAATCACTCTTCTGTTCCCCACCCCCCGACTTTCTGTTAATTTGATGTTCCTTCCCTTCGTGCAGCCCGAAGTCAGTTAAAGTGCTAATGTTAAATATCAAAACGCCTGCCATTTGAAATGATATTTTTACAAAGCACAAGAAACTCAAGTAAATACATGACAATTTTTTCGTACTGAAATAAGGGTGATGTTCTTTAGGCCTATTGTACATTTTTAACGGAAATACTGAATACATTAGACGCTAGTAATTCATGGTGTTAGGTTATTGGGGTGAGAAAGTATTGCGAAATATTTTTCGGAAGTATAATATGCGGGTCAACGCTAATACGGAGATTATACCTACCTCTATGACTTAATAAACGGTTTAGAATTTTTATTACGACAGTGAAGACAATTTTGTCATATGCATACTTTCATCAAGTAGCTTCAAATTCGTTATCATATTCTATCATGAATTACCTGACAACAGTTATCACACAGACATATTGTGTCTTTAAAGAGCCTCTTTACCATAGGAGGGAAATTATTGATAATTAGTTCATATAACCCTACACGAACTGATAATACATACTCAATAGAACCTGGTATTTTTAGTTCAGTTTAACCGGGGTGTGCGAGACTTACCATCTGAGCAACGTATGACTCATACGGCAAAAAAGTCTATTAACCGGCAGTTGACTTATCACTTCACCATGGCACGACTGCTTGTCATATTCGACCGCTTTCACAGTACTCATCTTCAAATGTCTATTAACCGGCATTTGACTTCTGACTTCAAAATATTCATACGGCAAAAAAGTCTATTAACCGGCAGTTAACTTCTGACGTCAAACTACCATGGCCCGACAGCTTGTCATATTCAACCCCTTCACGGTACTCATCTTACCTTTTCTCTCTGCCTTTGTGTCTGTCTGCCACTTTTACATCTGTGAATCGCTCTTCTGTTTCCCACCCCCTCGACTTTCTTCTACTTTGATGAACCTTCCCTCTGTGAAGCCCGAAGTCAGCTAAATGGCTAATGATAGCTACCAAAACGCCTGCCATTTGAAATAAATAAATAAACATTTCAGTTTAACCTATTATTGGTAGTACGAATCTTTTCCAATTATTTATTCTGCTTAAGCCTTATTTCATTCGAATTATTTCAATATTTCCATCTTACCGGTCCAGTTGCAAAAGAATGTGCAGATCTTTGGCCTAAAATTGCATCGACCTGTAGTTCTATGTATTGAATCCCAAAGAAAACTGCTATATTTGTGTGTTTTCAATACTTGACTTATTCATATATGGAATTTTGTTGTGCATTTTATATTGAGCAGTTTTATTGTTTTCTTTTCTTTAATGCCAAATTCACCCTGTTTGAAAACGATGTTTGTTTAATGAAATTCCGTATAATGAGACTAGCTACTTTTCTTCTTCAATATGATTATCTTCAAGCTCTTTGTCACTGTGGATCTTACTACGTTCTTTGTTCTCAGTATTCATTACCAAATTCTCTGTTTCTCCCTCAATTTTGCCCACTCCCTTTTGTTCATGGTTTCCTTCCTCTCTATCCCTTTCAATTTTAGAGTTTGTTATAGTAATTATCGGTGATGCTTTCTCTACAATAAGATTCAACATTGGCTCCTTTTCCTTCTTCTTTCGACATCTAGCCTTATCATTTTCAAGTTTTTTGGCTATGAAGGTCCTTTTCATATCTTCCGCCTCATTATTCAGATCTTCTATTTTTTGCTTGTATTGTTTTATACTTTCTTCATATTTTTCGGCTTCTTGTTTCATTACCTGGAAATAGTCAACGTTATAGTATAGTAGTTTAAGCCTTCAAAAAGTCGATAGCACTCTTACCTTCAAAGCGGCTTGTTTTTCTTTTAGAGCATTTTGATAGATATACATTTGCTCGGCTACTTCGGGACCAGGTTTACGAAGCAAAGTCTGTTTTAGATCAACATAAAGACGTTCTTTCTCCCCAATTTGGAGTTCTTTTTGCACAACCTCTTCAGTTTTGTTTAAAAGACGCTTCTGTAATGTGTGAATCTTTCTTATCAATTCCAAGGAGGTTGGATCGCCACCCTGATTTAATAATAAAAGTAAAAGTTATATATTAGTTGATACGTTGAGCTGACACGGTTGAGTTACAACTTGAACCAAATAAGAACGAAACGGAATAATATACCTCGGGTTGAAATTCTACATTACTCCAGTCCTCCAGGTTACACATCTGTGAGATATAATTATAGCCCTTATTAGTTATTACATAATAAAGAACATTAAAACATGTATTTGCCGATTCGCGTTGAAAATTTATCTACTTACTATTTGTAATAAAATATTATTTGCTATTGATTCACAATAAATGGAAGGTCGATTTTTCATTTTATAGGAGTAAAATTCATGTTATAATAATTATTCATTCTTTAAAATTTTCATATCACCTATAGCACAGTAGTTAGTTTAGTCGTTTTGAGTTCGGTGCGCAATCAATGAGCGGAAAGGTTAATGTGAATTAATCTTCACCTAATTTAGTTCATTTTAACAAATTAAAGGAGTGGTAGAAGTCGAAATTCTCAATGGAGGGACTTTATGGCTCTCGCTCTATCGAAAATTAACTGCATATAATAAATTGATTCGAGAACTCAGTCCTATTCAATATAGGTCACTTATAAGTTCAAGTTTTCTGGTGTTATTGGCACTTATTTTGACAAATTTAAGATCACCTTAGGCAAAAAACTTTGATTTACCTCAATCTGTCGCCATCGATGAACATTGATTGGAATTTGAAGCTCATCCTCCAGGGCTTTACATCTCACTTCTTCCTGCCTCAGCTCTTTCTCCGCTTGAATCACTCCCCTTTTTAGATTTTCCATTTGAGCTAAATCGGCTTGTAGTAAAGCCTTCTCTTTCCGACACCGGCTTATATCATCTCGAACTTCTTTCAGATTTAATAACACTTTGGCGTATTCTTTCTCCCCAATAAGTAATTCATTTTCCACCAAGTAAATTTTATTATGTAATTCTATCAATTCATCATTACGTCGTGATATTTGAACTTCTAGAACATTCTTGTCGTTAATGGCTTCACTCAGCACTTTCTTGTATTTAGAGTGCTCAGTCTCCGCTTCTTGAATTCTTGCAACAAGCTGCTTCTCTTCCTTCTTCTGCGCTTCCATAAATGTCTTATTTTTAATAGTTATTTCTTTCATTTTCTCCAACTCTTTTTGCAAATCATTTTGTTCTTGGGATATTTTATTGCATTCGGCTGTCTCTTGAACCATTAGTACATCTTTGCTTGCTATTTCATCTTTTATTTGGCCAATTTTCTGTGTCATTATGTTTAACTTTCGCTTCAATTCGCTTATTTCTTCCTGTGCTTCGATTAGATTCTTTGAATATAGATTCCTGTCGCTTTTCACTGCTTCGTAAAGATTCTCTTGTTGTTTTAGTTTAGTCTGAGCTTCAGCAATTTTCTTTTTGTTGTCGAATATCTCCATTTCACGGTATTTGACTTCTTCCATAAAGTCAAGAACTTTTTGTGTATAACAGGAGGCTTCTTTGACATAATGATCACGTTCTTTTTCAAGCATACTGATCATTTCTTTCTGAGTTAGTGTTTCTTGATTGTAATTGGAAATCTCCTGTTCAAGGTTCTGCTTAGATATTTCGTGAATTTTTAAAAGATCTGCTTGTTTTCCAGCTTGAGTTTGCACTTTGAAAAGAGACTTTGACAGAGCATCTCTTTGTCGGGTTAAATCTTCACACACTTTTCTATCTCTCTTCATGGCCTTTCGAGTTTCAAGAATCTCACGTTCTATTGTATCGATACTTTCACGAATTTTGTTACGGGTCTGTTCAAGCTCTTGTTTCTTCTCCTCAATTTCTTGGAGACGTTTATTTGAAGAATCATTTTGACTGATTAGCTTGGCATTCTCTGATTTGATAGCACTTAATTCCTCTTCCTTTTGCTGTATTAATAAAGAATGCATCCTAATGAAATTTATAAGAATATATTAAAGGTATTTAAAATGAGGATGACTATGATTAAGTTTTAGCAGTGAAAACTGTTAACAATACACAAATATTAAATTCTTCGAGGAATTCAGAAGAAATGTCCGTTTGAAGATCTGACTTTGTAAACAGCTTGAAGTTCAGAAATGAATAATTAGCAATCCCTCGTTTATGTAATTCCAATACTTTTTGTTAACTATACTACTTATAAATAAACGTAATGGATCTTGTAAAGGAAGAGCGATTGCTATATTGGGCACTCCTTCGTGAATAACTTGAATCGTTTCATCTGCCTATTCGTCATTTTAACATGATGCATCTAAATCCTGTGCTATTTCTAACTTTCTTTATAAAACAACCGATTTATGAGCTCTGAATATTGTGCCATTCACGAATCTGAGAGTGAATTTATGAGAACCTTCTTCTTGGTTAACATTTCCAAAAGCAATTTCTATCACAATGGTAATTTTAATATCATTAAACAAACTCCAGTTAATTAAAGTTTCCGTTTGCTATAGCTCCATTAAATGGGGCTTAATATGATTTGAATACAATATCAATAAATATCGCAGATCCAGACCAATGTTAGTCAAGGATTCTCGACAGAAGGAAGATTAAGAACAAAGTTGGGTTTATGGGCCCTCCCCCCCCCCCCCCCCCCCCCAAAAAAAACATCTATATGAAAAATAGAGATTGGCAAGAAATAACCTGTCATACCTTGACTTCCACTAGTTTGGCCCCATTCTCCACTCTAAGACTTTCAGTGAGATTTATTTGAGCATCGAGTTTTTTCTGCACTTCAGCTAGCTTTGCCTCAGAAAGCTGCAATTTTCTAATTGACTGTTCATTGTTCAATTGAAGGGCCTCCTTCTCCTCTTGTCGCTTCTCTAACTCATCCTGTAGTTGTTCAATTGCAAGAGTTATGGCCTGAATGTCCGACTGTTTCATTTCAACTTGTTCACGAACTTCATTTAACTCTTTCTCCATTCTCTCCTTCTTTCGCAATTCTCGTTGAGCTTCGCTGGATTTTTGCTTAAAGTTAGAGGAATTTAACGCATAATACAGATGATATTCACTAGTTTCATTGTTTACTTAGTCAAATTTTCGAATGAGCACTTAAATTAGGCAATAGTGTAACTAGATTTAAATAGAACGAATTTTGTACTGTATCTGGAATATGCTAATTTTGGGCTAGAGTATTAACAGATATTTAATTTAAATTAACCAAACATAAGTAATGTAAATAGTCCTTTTTAAATCAAACTGTGCTAAATAAAAAAATTAAAATTAGCGATATTGAAATCTTTCAAATTTCTGTGTAAATGGCACGAAAAAGAATGAAAGATAAGTAACTTGATTAATATATGAGACTAATTGCTTTCACTCACTCTAATATTAAAAAAATGAATGCTGGTATCGTTTGGTCAAGAAAAATTCCATGCCTATTTTCTGATTTTTAAAAGATTAATTTTTTCGTTTCAACAAATTAAGGAAAACAGATAAAGCTCCATTTTGGTATTATTTTGCTATTAAGTTGCAAAGGATACTTTTAAATAGGATTTTCTTGATTTTTGTTTATTTATGAAGTGAAGACCGAATGTTATTATCTGCTTTAGATGCGGAAATCAGCGAAGAATTTATTGTGGTTCACAGATGCTACCAAAATTTCCAACAAAAGGTTGACTTAAAGAGGAAAAGTTTATAATATTATGGACATTCATTTGTCAAATAAAACTTCAATGTGAATTATCAACAGAATTTAAATTCAAAAGTGCTGCTTGGATGTGTAATTGCCTACGCACGCTCATTTTAGTATTCGGTTATCATCTTAAAGAAGATATTTCATATTTATTGACGCTGAACAATCGACCGGGCAGAATAAACTGATTCGCAAATGAATTTAATTTTCGGTTAAGATGACTAGCACGTTGCTGAATTTTAACTAATCTTTTCTATGATCTTCAGAAGAATTTCGATAAATTAGAAAACAATTAGAAAGAAGTAACGGTAATAGACGAAAGGGACAAGATACTTTGGGCAAATTCTGACTAATTTGAATGAAAACCATACTTGAATATCTTTTCCGAGCTCCGCTATTTTCTGTTGAGCTTGAATAAGTTCATCCTGTAATTTATTAACTTGTTCCTTGGTGGAGTCTACTTCTTTTCGAAGCCTGGCGTTTTCCGCCTCCTGTTTCACTTTTACTTTCGTCACTTCTTCCAAATTTTTCGTGACCTCAGCTACCCTAGAGTATAAAGCAATATTTTGCTTAATCGTGTAGAAATTATACGAAAATTTGAAATATCACTTTACGCATTAGCTCCTATCTCATCAGATTCACCCTTCTCAATCACTTTAGTGAGAGTTGCAATATTCTCCTTGATAACTTTTATGCGATCTTTAATTTGATTTTCCTTAGCGTCAGCGGCAACTACCAGACTCCGTGCATATTCCAATTCCTTCTTAAGTTTGGAAATATTTTCAGGGCTATCGTTTGATATCTTGTTAACGTGCTGTATACGAATAGAATTCGAGAGAATATCGGCCTTTAATTCTCTGCACCGCTTCATTAACTTTTTCTCGTTTTCATGAGATTTAAAAAGGGCAGCCATGACTTTTTCGTATTCATCACGAAAGTTATCGAGCAGTTTATTCTTTTTCAAATCATCTAATAGCTTTATTTATGAATTATCTTGGAAAATCTAAGTACACTATGATACTCATCTTGCAGTTGAGCAAAAGTTGACTCATCAATGGCTGGCTTGACGACTCCTTTTAACAAACCTTTATCGAACTGAAAATGAATTATAATTTAACTTATCATACCAATTCAACCATAATTACTTAATTCCTGTTGCATGCAATAGACCATGTAATTGAAATTGAAGCAGATGATCGTTGCTATGCGACGAGGGACAATATTATGAGAATCATTATATGAAGAGTGATGAAAGTAAAAGTGAAATAGTTTCAGAAATTAATATTCAAATATTGATTCAAGTTAAAGATCAATCGAAAGTGAATGTCTGAAATTTTGGTATGAAGATATTTATTATTATTTATCAGTTCTAGTATCTACTATTTTAGATATAATTGAATTGACTCAGTACTTAATTCTAGCACAAGTGATTGCCAATATCACATGTGAATCTTAAAACGATCGAGGGAGTTCTATTGTAATCAAATTTTATTGAATGATATAATTCCGAAAAAAATTCTATGAATTGCAAAACCATTGCTATTGCATTATAAATAATTTTGTTTTCAACAAGGACATCATGAAATTATTTTCTTGGATCAAGTCAAAATTACACTGCAAAAGTATTCATAAACCTATTTAGTTAAAATTACCTGCACATTCTTTCTTAGAATGAAATTATACTGATTATAATAGCAAGCGATAATATGTGATAGTCAAGTAAATGTTTTTTTGACGAAAGGGAGGAAAATAGGTTCTTGCTACAGCGTTGATAAAGTATTGAAGAGAACTAATTGACGGATGGTTATCAAACTAATCGCTGAGATCCGTCAGTATCTGACCATTTGAAAATTTATTTATTAGTTGAAATTACTGAAAATCGGCTATATTGACTAAAATTTATAGATTAAAATATGAATGTGGAAATATATAGAAATACAAATAAGTAAATGCCCGATTTTGTATTCTTTAAAAACTAACTTCGGAATTTGGATATACATTTATTTGAGTGCATCATTAAATCTTAAATTAATGACTTCCAATGAGCATTCACTAACATGAATGCTAAATTAACTTTTGTTCATTTGATTCCAAACCCATATAACAATTCTAGGTAGGCATTTTCCTTAAAAATAGAAAACCGAAAGGAGTTATTACAATGAACTTATTTTGATAACGATTTAATGGATTTCGGTTAAAGTTGTCAAAAAAATGAATTACATGATAAATTAGTAGAAAAAATCTGAAATGATTCCTTACCGCAACGTCAATTTAAGAGATAATAAACAAAGCACAACTTATAGTAAACAAAATCTATTTTTTTAATTTTTAATCAAAAATATTATTCGCAGATGCTTCCTGAAACGCGTAGGTAAAAAAGAAGCATCTATAGAAGTATAACAGTCATATTGAAAAATAGTTGCAAGTCTATATTTGAAATAGAACAATTTAACATTTTGAAAGTTAGCATAGCTTTAATTCATCTGCTCTTACTATTAAAGTATTAGATAGATTTTAAAATTAGTTTCCGTGGAATGGAAATAGTATTTCACAAATATACTGGTTATGACATAGAGAATGTTAAAGTTTTGTTACTGGACATTTTGTCACTATTTCTTAAATGTGAAATATCAAAAAATAATTCTTTGATTAAATAAAAAATTAAATAACAAGAATAAAAGGAGGTAAACCAAATGAATTGTATATAAATTGTTTGGTTGCTTTCATTATGCTGTGGCTATTTCAATAAATCACGTTTCTTGGCTTGCTTCAGTTTGTAGGGCACAAATGGAAGAACCCCCCAAAAAGAAACACAGGGCCCCTCAAAGCGGTGCGAAAGCCTTAAAGAAATCAAAATTAGAAACAAAGGCACAAAATCCAAAGGGCTTTTCTATTCAACACACTACTAAAGCTGCTAGGAAGGTCCGAAAAACTCTAGATCGTGAGACCAAGAAGTACCATTTGTCGAGTGTTAATGCTAAGACTCCTGTTGATTTTGACCCTCCTCTTATTGTCGGTATTGTTGGTCCACCTCGCAGTGGCAAGTCTACCTTGCTTCGATCCCTGATCCAACACTTCGGCAGAAAATATTGTCCTATAATCACTGGTCCCATAACTGCCGTGGTTGGTAAGAAGTATCGCATGACATTTATTGAGTGTGACTGCAATATTAACAGCATGATTGACATTGCCAAGGTTGCGGATTTGATCCTTCTTACAGTTAATGTCAAGAAAGGGCTTGAAATGTATCATTTCGAGTTTATCAATATGTTACAAGTACATGGTATGCCTCGAGTTATTCCCGTTCTCAATCATCTCGATGAATTCAAAGAATCCAGTTCTTCACGTGCCATACGCAAGAAAATTAAACAGCGTCTCTGGACGGATCTTTCGGCTAAGATTTTCCTTTTATCCCGTTTCATGAAAAAGAAATTTTATCAAAGAAGAAAACAATCGGACGATAACGAAATTGATGGTGAGTATATGCAGGCGGAGATTCAACGACTAGCACGTTTGATGGTTGTTAAGGTGCCTCGTCCTTCCGATTGGAGAACTGGCCATCCCTACATGGTTGTTGATCGGCTGGAAGATGTTACAAACCCGGAAATTTTGAACGAAGATGAAAAACACAGTCGCACTATTAGTCTCTACGGTTATGTCAGAGGTGCCCCAATCGAAGCCACTTTCTCCAATCCTTCGGTGCATATTCCTGGTCTTGGAGATTTTCTAGTATCTGAGTGTACACGCCAAGAAGATCCCTGTCCTGCTCCAGCTCAATCTATGATGATGAGTGAGTCGAAAGAAGAAGCCCTCGAAGCCAAGTTAAAGAAACGCCTCTCCGAAGGTGAACGAAGAGTAAGCGCTATTATAACTAACTTTTACTTGTTTATTTCTTTACTCTAATGGCAAGTATGTGGATGGGTCCAGTGCTTTGAAGGAAAATGTTCCAGGTGTTTGATCTCTGTAGACTGAGTTCTTCCCACAGAACCATCTACCATTTTTGGTATCTATGATTTAATTCCTTTGGAACTTCTTAACGGTTTTTGGGTGAGGATTGTGGGAGGTTTAAAGTTCTCGACTACATGGTCATGGATTGATTAAGTGACTCTAATAAATAAATAAGGAATGTTGTTAATAGTTAATGGGAATTTCTATGATGTCATAAAAGATACTGGTAGAGGCGTTTTTCTACTGAATGTTTAAATCAATCGAATTGTCATGAAAGGAACGTGTAATGTGGCTATGAATCAAATGTCACTTTGTTTTTTATCTAGCTTTACGCTCCAATGTCCAAGATCGGAGGTGTTCTTTTTGATCGCGACGCCACATACATTGATATTGGAGGTAGCCATCATTTGGGTGGTGGTCGTTTGACCTCTGGTCGAGAGAAAATAGTCAGCGCAGGGGAGGCTGATTTAGCCAAAGCACGGGAACTCCTATCTGCGGAAGGCCATGGTTTAGACGAACGTCTAGCCCACGACCATCACGTCCAAATGCTCGCAGATGCCCCCTTTTTACCACCGAACGATCTTGACACTATTGAAGAAACCTCCAATTCTGAGGATAGTGATTCCGAGAGTGATTCTGAAGACAAGAATGAAAGTGTGCGAATGTTTGAAGATGCTGCTCTCCCGAATTCGGACGAGGAACCTATGGATTTCGATGAAAACGACGAAGAAGGCTCCTCCAGCGACACGGATTTGGAAGAACTGATGAAGTTGAAAACGAAGTCTGAATTCGATAGACGGCATCAAGATCTGAAAAATGCCTTTGATAGTGAGTATTTAGTGCTGTGAAATTTGTTAATTTGGTTTATCAATTTTAACATTTTGTGTTCCGCTTCTTTAGATCTCGATTGGCAAGAAACATCTTCTGGCCGTAAAAACTGGAAGAGGCTTATCTATAGTACTGGTAAGTTTTATTTTTTGTACAGTAAGGCCCTTGTACCTCAATCCAGTATTTCTCTCGCTTTAAAGTAGCTAATTTTCTAATGCGGTTTTGACTTGGCTCTGCTGGGATGAACAGGATAGAAGGGCATATCTTTAAATATTCATATTTTTAGGTCAAATCACTTTCTCAACTAATTGCCAAGCTACCTCGATTTGTTAGCACTCCCTTATCCCTATAAGCACAAACTATTCTGCTCTGAACTTTGCCGGCTTGATATCGTTTTGAGTAAAATGTCTTTTCCCCTCTCGACTATCTGGTGCCTAGGGTTTTATAGGACACTGGCTTAGTCCATCAGTATTCAGAATCGAAAATATTGGAACAGTAATTGATACTATTTGTGGAGTTGAACATTTGGTCCATCGAATGTTTAACTAATTCACTTCAAATTCACCTGCATATGCTAGCAATATCTTCCTTTTCGATTGTTGCTGGGCTATCTTTCCTCAGTTGATCTCTGAAATGTGTTTTCTGTCGTATCGGATGGAATACAAACCACGATTTTGATTGTCTGTTAACAAAGATAGCACCTAATGCAAGTTCTTTCTCATTATGAGCAGAGGTTTTTATTAAGTGGCTTATGTTTGCCATGGCCAAATAATTTTGCTGGTTTTACTAAATGGTTTTTTGAAGATTCATTTGCTGGCCTTTTATTTATTGAAGTTTCAAATTTTGTTTTGGTAAACGCTTTTCTTAAGAAAATTCAAATTGCACCAATTCCATCAGTATTACTTTAAGAGCTCAAAGAAGGTAGACTTGGAACTATCCTTTAAAGATACCTTGGTTTTAGTGGCCAATAGAATTCAATAGCATTTCCCACAATCACAGGGCAAAAGTAGAGATGAGTTGGAAGGTTGTAGTCACATTAGAATGAGAGTGTGATATAAAGGAAAGATGTAATTCTGATGATTGAGTTGTACGTCTAAACAACTCACGCAAAACCAAAATTACGGAACAGAATTAAGAAAGAGGGTTGGTTCTATTAACCTAGATTATGTTAAATTATGGCAGGATTAGAACAACTTAACTTATCTGTCATCGGGTGTGGCCTAAAACTCCCGTATGTTCTGTTTGAATGCCATTTTAAATGACGTCTTCATAATTTCTTTTCAGTTAATGAAACCCCAACAGTTGATTCTGCAACTGCCTCAGATACTCTAATGGCTGACATGTTCCGAGTATCAACTATTATCGACGAAAAATCCACGCAAGTAGAAGCAGACGATGTTACACTTCCCCGAAATCCCACTGTTTCAATAAATTGGTCTTCAGCAGCCCATCTGCGACATCTTATTAAGGATTGTTTCTCCACGGGGGAATACAACGCCACTGAAGATGCTAAAACCCTCTTGAACGCTGACGAGGAAGCTCAACGAACTCTAGCTGCTCTTAAAGCTCAAAAGATCGCGAAAGCTGCAGGTAGTCACGTTCAGTATAAGCCACAGGAGAAGCAAGACCAAGGAGAAAACGAAGACGAGATCTCAGAATACGACGAAATGAGCGATTCTGAAGATGATTCTTTCAATGAAGATGAGCTTTTGGATGGAGAAAGAGAAGAGAAAAATGACGATTCCACAGAGGGATTTGAAAAGAGTCTTCTAAGACCGACAAAACGTGAGAAAATCCTTGAGAAACGCAGGAGACATAAAGAGCTGTTTGAGAAGCTCTATGAGGCTGCACAACGTGGTTCTGGTACAAAAGACGGTGAATCTGCTACAGCGCACTACGATAGGGCGTTGGCAAAAAAGGAGGCTCAGGAGCAGTTGAATAGAGAAGTTCTACGTCAATTACCTCCTGGAGTTAGAGAAAAGGTCGAGGGTATTTCTCCAGGATCGTATGTGCGTCTACAAATTGCTGGTGAGTTTGACTAACCATCTACTTAATAATATTTAAGTAAGTAAGTAAGTACATAATATTGATTTTGAAGCTTCTTATACTCCTGAACATTGGCCTACTTACGAATCCTATATTAACCTAGATTTTATTGTAAAATTATCTCATTTTATTATAAGTCTATTTTTTCGAAGTTCTACTGTTTCTTATTATTTGGATTTTATTTCTAATCTCATGATAATTTTATTATCGTTCTTGGGAATCTCTTTGTATACGAATTTGACCTTGAACAAGTGTTATACTTTACCCCCATAAGTTTACTGAAACGGGGATTGATTTGATTGGCTAGTTGTGATACAACCAATAACCTTTGAACACATATAGTAATAAACGTTTTATTCAGTTTTATTGAGCTGTATCAAACGGATATTTTTCCTAATATTGCGCCGGAATTAGCGTAGATTAAAGGTTTCCCGAGAAAGGTTGTCTTAATGAAACGAATATTGGTGAAATTAATTGTGTAAAATTCCCTATCATCATTCCCACCTTGTTGTTAAAGTGGATACAATGATGATTTCGAATTTAATCTAGATGGTTGATTAAGACTGAATTGTTTTGAATTCATTGAAAGCAAATGATTTTCATCACCCATCTGGGATAAATGAGTAGAATTCTGGAACTTCTGATATGAACTTCACACTTTTCGACTGTTGGTCTGGTGACTAAGATCACTTTCGTGGCTATTGAATCTATAGCCTGTTATTTTCTGAGACAATGGTTTACACAATCCTTTAGTCATCGTCTGTCTTTATTATCTAATTAACAGTAGCTATTGAATATACTAATAGGTATTCTCCTATTACCTCAATTGGACCATTAATCTGCTGAAGTTTTGTTAATTTCAGCTTATAACAAGCTCTTTAGTTCACCATTTCCATTTTGAATGAACTGCTTTCATACCTATCTGCTTTTGTATCGTGTATATGCTTACTTGTGTTGATGCGTCTTTTTTACAAAAAGTGAGACTTCTAAGCATCAGGACTCTAGATTGTTTTGTATGCACCTCTTGATTTATTTCCAATGGGTTGCACTAAAATGGAGTAGGAAGCTACAATGCTCATTGTCGATTAAATGTGCTTAAGTAAAATAGAACAATCATTTATGATTTTTTGGATACCCTAGGGGGTTCTGATCGTTCCTTTTTGTTGTAGGTCAAATTGATTTTGGAGTTAAGAGAAGCTCAACTTATTGTACTATATTTATCAGTATAATAAACAATTGTGTAGTGGTAATTAATTAAGCTGTGTTAGTTATATACGTTGCGTAAAGCAAATTCGTGTTCTTTAGTGAAGGCTTTATAGTTAGGATTTCATTACCATCAGAATCATCACTCCTTTCGACTTTTGAGAATCTTTAGTGGAAACTTTTCATCGCGAGTGAATGAAAGTAGTTAGTGGTTGTGGGTCCAAGAGGGAAGGTTTTGCGTTAAAGCTTCCAGATTCTCATTCATACACAATTTACGCGTCTCTTCAAAGTGGCTGTTGAAGAATTAAATCCACTTTTGTCTTTCGTTTCAATTTCTCCTGATCAGGCCAATCGGCTCATAGTTTTATTATTTAAAATTTGGGTTAATACTGTTTGGGTCTGTTTATGTTGAAGTTCTTTCTTGTTCATTACTCAGCTCAAAATGGGGAATATTTCCGAGTGTTTGTGGTGGTTACTCATCAGTGAACTTCGATAATTTGCACGATGTTATGAAATTTAGTTTAACATGTATTGATTACTGATGAGAAGAAATGTCTAGCAAAGGAGTTGTTATACAGTATAGGCAAGAAAGGTTTCATTAGAGGCAATAATGATGCGTATTGGGATCAAGAAATGTAAAGGCATAAGTTAGAGATGGCAATCATCTTTACTTAATAGCTACTTCACTCCAAAGCAACAAGAGACTGTATCTGTCCACACTAGGCTTCTAGCTTCTCACTGGTCCTCTTTGCACCCGTGTTGATCTGCGTGCTAGTAATCGCTTCCTTATTGGGTTGACGAAGCTACCAGTTCGGTCTGTTTCCAATTCGTCGATTTAATGTGATGACAACATTCCTAATTGTTGAACGATGGCTACTACTGATATAGTCTAGGTTTTTTTAGTACAGCCTGATTTTTTTCCCTTTGAACACAAAATATAGCTCTAAAAATTATTGCCATTCTTCCTTGTTTGTTAGGAGTGCCATATCAATTTATGGCCAATTTCGATCCCCGTCAGCCTCTTATTGTTGGTGGAATCGTGAAAGGTGAAGAGGCCAAAGCATTCATCCACGCCCGTTTCCAAGCTCATCGGTGGTTGAAGCGCGTCCTCAAATCCAATGATCCCATCACTGTGTCTGTTGGTTGGCGACGCTACCAGACCATTGGGGTCTTCTCAAAGTAAGTTTAGAATTTGTAGGTTTTTATCCTCTTGTCTATAACACCAGCGCCTCGAAACTCCTTGAAGCGTAGCTATTAATTGTATGTTTCTTCTAATTGGTACTTTACATTCACAGGAAATGTAACAACTAATTGGCTCAAAGATGAAGAACTTCCTTAAATTGCCACTTTGTTTCTTGCATTTTTTACTAGGAACCGAAACAAAGTCAGAGCAAATAATGCAATTTGAAGCTTGTTTCTAAGACGGTTTTCTAGCTAATATTCTGTTTCTGTTTTGAAATTTCCGTGGTTATTCTCTTTATTGGGCACTTTATGAAAATATGCGCATGTTTGAGTTCTGTAAAATTGCACGTTTCAACATATCTGTGCATTTAAAGTTACTTTTGTAGTTGAGGCTGATCAAATTTCTTAGGGAAATTTGGTTAGTTACAGCCAGTTTATGTGCGGGCTGTTAAGATTTGTGAACCAATTAAAACTCACTGCATATTGTCAAACAGGTTTCATTTCATGATAGGAGCACTTTCATCTAACTCAACTAAACTTTTTCATGCAGTCTGGCATTAATGACCTGGTTGCCGCAGTATTTTCCAAAATAACCCCATTTTTTCTGAATGTGCACTTAAACGACCTTTTTTTGGTATAGCTAGGGTATATTATAGGGCGGAGTTATGTGTCTTATTCATAAGATAGAAATAGTTCCAAAACCATCTGAACTGTTTTTAGGATAAGATTTAGCATCTATATGTTATTACCCTATGTTAATTAGTATGAGATTTAATTCTCCATCAAGTTATGCCCCAAGTCCTAAGTGAGTCTTGGTCTCCCTAAGTTCTTGAACAACCTAAAAACGCCGCAACAAAGAGGCCCTCTTGTTTTTTCTGCTTCTCACATCGTGATCTATCATACGGAGCCAAATTTTGATTTACCACTCAATTTGCCTGTGTTTATTCCGTCTCTCCCTTAGTTGGTTTACTTCATATTTTTCATTTCTCTCTTCATATTTATCTATTGACATCACTTATGGTCAAGGCATACGGTTACTCATTAATAAGCAGAAATTGAGTAAATTGGTCTTGTATTGATTTTGTAGTTACATTTAGCACCTTTTCACAGCACAAATTAACGTAGGCCTGCATTTCTCGCATCTTAGGTCACCTGATTTATTTTTCGTGTGCAACAAGGCAAATAGTGATTGGTTGCCTGGCGTCACTGGATGTTAAATCGTTATCTTCCTTTCTCCCTCTTTCCAATTGAACGTATTAGCAGAGAATTTATTAGAAGAGTACTGAAGGTATTTGATGTCTGGTTTAGCATAGGAGTTTTGTGATCTGTCGGTACTCATTGTAATTTTTTATCTGCTTTTCAATCCTAATTCTAGTGGCTTGACATTGTGCTACTTCCATGCAATCGCTGGGTCTAATTTGTTAAACTAGTACAAAAGGCTCTGTTTATAAAGCGGTTTTTAATTCCAGTCTGTATATGGGTTTTTAGACTTTTTGTAACCTCCACACAACTTAGATAAGTTGCTTCATTCTTTACTGAATGCTACGCTACAATCTGTCTTTAGATATTCAAATGCTACTTTCTCAAGGCGATTATCAAAACGTTGACTGCTAGGAATGCAATCTTACTTCTTAATACTAAATGAAATAGGACTTCCAGAAGTGCCTAGTTGACTTAAAGGTAAAATTCCGAATTAGCTAAGTTGTGTTGCTTCGGTGACCGACCCTTTGCCCAAGATTCTACCTCTTTTCAACAGGCTTAAAATATCACCTCTGACCTACAGCACCTGATGTTCGTATGACTTTGTTTTAACATCTTTAATTCATGCTTTGAAATATCAGACTGCTTTACTGTCAGTTGGTTATTTAATCTTATATGTATATTATTTTCGTTTAAACACCCTATCCTGATCTTATCTACTGTTTTCGCTGGCATTTTTAGGGAGGAGCACAATTTCCGAAAACGTTATCTCAAATACGCCCTAGGTCATGAATATTGTCATATGACTTTCTATGGACCAGTTGTGGCCGCTAAGACCGGTGTAATAGCTTTTGTCAACTCAACATGGCGCAACCAGGTAACTGTAATATTTCCTACTCATTGCAATTTCCTCACTTTTAGACTGATAACTTTGCCTCTCCGAGATTCCGTATAGCTGGTACAGGAAGCGTAACTGATTGTAACGAGTCTTTCCAGATTATGAAGAAGCTCAAGCTCGTCGGACATCCCTATAAAATCTTCTCTAAAACAGCCTTCATCCGTGGAATGTTCAACTCAGAGCTCGAAGCGGCTAAAATGATTGGTTGTAAAATTCAGACCGTGTCGAAAATTCGTGGTTTGATCAAAAATGCCTTGACAGGAGATAAGTACAAACCAGGTGACTTCCGAGCCACATTTGAAGCCACTGTTCGAAAAGCAGACATCGTTTTCCTGAGATCTTTTGTTCCGATTGAATTGAATGCCTTCTATAACCCCATTCCAAATCGCCTATTACCTGTTGCTGGAACAGCTGCTTCACAGGACCCCGAAAACAAGTGGAAGATGATGAGGACTATGGGTGAACTACGTTGGGATAATGGCATTAAAGCGGAAGTACCTGAAGACTCTAAATACAAGACCCCAGAACGTGTTCCTTTCGTTCCTATGCCCTTGACCATTCCTACTAAACTTGTTGCAGCTCTGCCCTTCAAGGATAAACCAAAACCGACTAAAAAGCAACTACGAACTCAGAAATTCCGAGAGGACGAAGTCAGGCGAGCTCGAATAGCTGATATTCCGGGCACAGTGCATCCTAGAGGTGCAATCGCAGAAGAGAGCGATGTGCCAGACCCAATTGGTCATCAGAAAGACCGTGCACACCTGTTACAGCGTCTTAGAGAGATTCATACGGCTTATCTTCAGAAAGAACATGGTAAAATGGTTGCGCGTACCACGAAATACAAGGAGAAGAAGGCTGAAGCCGCTCGTCAGGCCGAACAAAGGAATAAGCAACGCAGAAAACAATTCTTTGCTCGACGTGGTAACATGAATAGCCATTAATTAATTGAAGTAGGCCTCATTTCCCTCTATTTCGGTGTACTTGTATATATCCTATACAGATCTAAAATAAACTCTTAAATGTGAAAACTGTGTTGCAACATGGATGCATGTTTTATATTTGATGGTCTTGATGATGCAGATTTGCAAGTTAAAACTTAAATGAATGAGTTTGTTATCTGTGAAGAAAGGCATGTCTTGGTGACAAATCTGTGAGGGAAGGTGACACGCTTGTTGCGGTTAAGAGGAGGCAGAATGTCTAGTAGGTACTGGGCGGCTCGTTGTCGTCGTCCTAAAATTGCAAAGCGCAGACTTATTAATGCATCATGGTTTCAATAAGTAGGATAAATTCTTCGAGTCATTGCACATCCAGTTAGACTGCTAGTATTTGTAAACAAGTGTATGGGTAGATGGAAGTTTTATCAAAACACTTAGCTTGCGTGAATTAATTCGAATTCATTCATCCTTTTTCACTAACCAGTGTGGTTTGCTATTAGACATCGAACTCGTGACCTCTGACTTTTTAGGTGAGCACGCCAGTACTAATCACATGACAGGTTTACACGTATAGTTGTTCGGTTAACACAGCATAAATTCAACTGTAAATCTCGTTGTCCTTTTCCTCAAATATGGACTACAAGTACAAGTAGAAGTAGTCTCAATTACCTCTGGATTCTGGACAAATTCGAACAATTCTATTGGGACAATATGAAAAAGATGTGGTTTCCTCGTTCCGAGGTTTCGCTCTTTAGAAATTATTTACTCCAATGTCTTTCATCGTTCTTAGTGATTTCTGTCCTCTACTTAGGTCCAACGCTTCTGTTCTCCATCTTGTGACGTACTGCTTCAATGGCAGAAGCAGTATGATCCAAACTAAATAGATCGGTCTGATCACATAGACCGTTCCGTACCCCCCCCCCCCCCCTCCTCCCCTCCCTTCCCCATCAAAATGCCCTAGACTCTACATATGGTTGTAGGTAATTCTTTAAATTTCGCGAATGTTATAGTGAAATGATCGCTTGGAAAGCCCTCTTCGGTCAACACTGCACTGACCAACTGCCTTTGTCTAAAAGATGCTTAATAAGGGTGTCTATCGAATATATGAAGTATTTTAATTCTATATATACACGGTTGACTAAAATAAATAACCAAAAATGCACTAATAAGTTCATAGGACCACCGGTCATTTTTGACCTCTAAGTTTATCGAATTCCAAATACAGTTGTGCATGGGAGAAGATATTTGGAAGCACTGTGATGAGATAAAGGAAATAAGTAAGATGGTTAATATTATCTAAAAATCGCCAAATGCACTAAGTTATTGGTGCATTATGAAATGCGAAAATCTCCATCAGTTAAAGATGGTTTTGAAAGTACACGCTCAGATCGATGCAAGGACCATCAGATGTCATATAAAGCCTAAGACCAAAATACAAAACCTACAACAATAAAATACTAAATGGGTAAATGAAATTATTAATGCGTGCAAACAATTTGACTTGTGTTTTGAGGGCAATTAACTAAAATTCTGCGTACAATCACCAGAGAGCAATGGAAAAGTACTTGTGAACATGTGGTCAAACCTTGTAACCTTAAGACTAAATGAATTTCACGGTCTAGACGCGAGAATGAAGGGCATATTTGAACTGAATAGATGACAATATGCTCTGAAAAACTTAAACAATATCGAAACAAGTAATTTGGACCTGAGCCACTTCTAACTGCTAAAACAAGAAATAACATGCTAAAAATCCAGCTAAATCTATACGCTTAAGATTATCTTATTACAACTGAACCGAAAGGAAACCATATTAGAGCCAAAATTGTCAAATGAAATACTGATTTTCTAAGTAATATCAGTAAAGGACAAAAATAAATGAAACACCTGGTGAAAAATCCAAAAACAAGTATTCAAACAGAGTTCTAAATAAAGCACTTTAAAACGCAATACAAGCAGAAAATTGTTTACCTCAAATCGATCAGGTTTTCCCAACCCTTGAGAATTACGAAAAGTGCGGTAAGCGTAGACACCGGCCATAGCAACAGCCCAAGCGCACATAACGAGAACAGGAGTAGTGAAAGAGCTGCCACTTTGATCTGACAATGGATTTGAGGGGTCATTTTGGCACATAACGTCATTGCAGTAGGACTGTGATTGCCGAAGCATATTCAACAACCGCTGCATATTCGACTCATGATTGTAAATACATTCACATGGATCAAAGTCGTCCGCCATCTCTATAAAAGCAAGAGTTGGAGAGAATATTTACAGTGGAAAAAACATATTAAAACAAACTGACAACAGCGCCATAAAGTATATGAAGACAGCTCAATAAAGATGAAAATCCTACTGTGAGATAAAAAGATTAATTTAAAGCTTAGTAAAACTAGCCTAACCATAAAGAACGAAATAATTTTTGCATTACCCCAATAGAAAGATATACAGTATAGACAGGTGCCATTAACAGAGGTGAACGAAAAATAAATAGAAATGAACGCATATCATCAACTACTTCATTATCAAGCATCAAAAATAAAACAGATGCAGCTAATGACACAGAATAGAGAACATCAAACGACAAAAATAAGAACATATAAAGAGAACATAAAGGAGAAACAATTGCGGTGGGTAATTATCAACATTCCCTATAATTAACGGCATTTAAAATCGGTGCTACTTGTTCAACATTCGCCTATGCATTCTGAAAGTAGCAAACAAGAAACCATACTTGTCAAGCCTTCCTCCTGGTGGTGGATAACTAGTTATACAGCTGTAATTTGTTAGAAAAGGTGTCAATCAGAGACCGGAACTTTCTACGCAGAGGACCCTCAAACAGTATACCAGAATTGTGATAAAGGCCTTGACGAGTAAGAAACAGTCAAGACATTAGAACAAAAATGGTAGATATTTAAAATCTTACTTTTACTTTTGATGAAACGAATTGATTCAATAAATTTTATGTCTGCTTAATCAGATTTATTATACAAAATAAATTTCAAAATACTACTGAAGAATCATCTAATTTACTATTATTGGCCTGACGATGCTTTGGAAGAATACAATCGTCTTGGAGTTGGAGTTTCACAATTTTTTTTGAAAAATTAACCAAATTTCTTTTGCATTTAAAAAGTTGATAGTAAAAATTAACAGCACCAATTTACCAATTGAAGGAAAACATTAACCGTATTTATGGCTAATTAGAGAGATCGGTGCGAACTTAATTAAAAAATAATTCTATATAAAGTGTCCTAACAGTGACATACTCACTTCGAATGCTGGATTTTTCTAAAAATCTAAAGCAATTCACGATCTGATTTTTCAACTTTACCATGTTTGGCATTTTTTCAATGCATAATTTTAACTTAACTTGCTATTTATAATATCCTTGCAATTTCTTCAATAATACATTATCAATACATATCTAATGTCTTATTTCCTCAGTCGAAGTCAATAGGGTAGTTTGGTTAACAACGGTAAATGAGAAAAACATGACAGATTGTACTTAAACCTTCTAAGTAGATTTGCATAATTTGAGCTTTAATCTACAATGTTCTGAAGTACAATATTCATGTATTAGGAAAAATACAAGTATTGTTGACTAATACTGTAGTAGAACTAGCCTCAGTTTTTCCTATAACTAAAATATAATAAATCGAAAATAGAAAATTATGAGAGCAAATATATATTAAAATGGATTCATTATCAAAAATACCTCATATTTAAAATTTTTTGCAGAATAGTGGATGTTACATGTACACTTACTTTAGTTTTGCTATCTAAGAATTACGTTCGATTGTAGTAGAGGCTTATTTAACCCAGTGTCATTGAATTTCCACCCTCCAAGTCCTTTGTTTTCTATGAGTGTAAAACTGATATTAGATTCCTTTGAAAAATATCGTCGTTCTGAATCGTACGAAGAATTCAGTTCTTCAATAAAAGTAATTGCTTAGTCATTGTTTACGCAACTTTAGGACTTTTTCGATAATCCAGGTGAACTGGGGTCCCTTGATCCTGACACTAGCAATCAACTCAATAAGTTCTTTTCATTTTCTTTGTGCTCTCCAAGTGGCCGAAAACTCAGATCTGTAGCACTGAGTATTGTTTCCATATATACAGAGGATATATCTAACAGATACCTCCTTTTGTCTCAGTTTTCCATACTGGAATACCTCCTTTATGGGTTTCGTAATTGGACGGAAGAAACTCTACGTGCTGAAGCCCTAACTTCCTTTTACCGGTGTACGTTTGAAATGTGTTACATGCCTCTCGAATACAATGAGGATGTAATTATTTTCGGTGCTAGACTGGCCTTATCCTGCCTTCAGAATCCTGAGAGCCATGTTGGAATCGAAATCGCTCTGGGAGTTCTTTCAAATTTATCCCGAAACCACTCTGCCATTCATAAAGCTTTTAAAAATCTTGACGACTTTGACCATCTGAGAAAATTACTTCTTCGTATTATGGAGAATGACACCTCAAAACAACTGGAGATTGTTCTCTCCATGTCTATCATTTATCACTTATTTGGCATTACTGATAAGGTTTAATTACTTTTTGTTTTATTATTGCTTTAGTTTTTTGACAAACGCAATATTAATACCTCTCTTCAAGTTCTATTTAACATCTTCCTTAATGGCAATTCACTTATTGAAAGCTCTTATGCCGGGGATATTTTAATCGATTTTTGTAATGATCCCTCCTCGTTTGTTCTTATAAGCTCGTAAGTTAACCTATTTTATAGATCTTCCTTTTAGACATTCGAGTGTAAAACAAACCATAGAAGGAGCAGTCAGTTATATCCAATCGGGTGATTCAAAGCTAGTTTATAAAGTAATTTTCAATTTTCGCTTATGTTTAATTGTGTATTTTTAGTTTTTCTGGTTTTTATCTAGCCTTCTCAAACGGGATTCTGACTTGACTGCTTTTGTTAAAAGTTTGGTTTTCAAATCATCTTCTCAAGAAGGTTCCTATTCTGTTCTTTCGGTAATAGCTAATCATCTTTCAAACCCGAGAGATCATCTTCTTTCCGCATCTGCAGCCTGTTTCCTCTTTGAGTTGTTGTCTATTTCTGCAACGGATTTCGAGAACAGTAACATTCTCACCCGACTCCTCGAAATTATCTCCCACTCTCTATCGAGTTGCTCTGAATCCTGGACTTCTGTTGAAACAATTTATCGTCAACGACTGATCATGCATTGCGCTTCATTGATCATCCAGAGAGTTTCCCAACTCTGTTGTTCTATGGATGGGGAATCTATTGATATTTCAGGAGGTCATGTCGCTCATCTTGGTCATTTAGCTGAATCCTTCGCTTGGCAGAATTTGGAAAAAAATGTCCAGTTGACAAACTTTCTAGTTCCCACTCCAAATTCGGATTTAGATGTCGCAGAAAATCGGCGACTAGTTGCTTCTATGCTATTAACTATTGATGCTCTGGATTTGCTTCTTACCTGTACAGACTTTCTCTCTGTCGCATCGCCGGTTTCTGCCACACAGAAGTCCCAAGAAAACATGGATCCTGATGAGACGAGAATCGATTGTACTCCGCCAAATATTGAGAATCTGCGTATTAATGATGATGCATTAACCAGTAATGAAGGTGGCAGTTTAATTTCTGGTCATTTGCATCGATGTGGAAATGCGCTTCAACGCTGTTTGGAAGCTGCTTCTTTGCCTCCTATTCTAGCTCTGACTCTGGTAATTGGGAATGGTTGTGTGGATTCGGAGAGTAACTTTTCGTCTCGAGCTGTTGTGTTGCGGTTACTGAAGATTGCTCTAAACTTGCAAAAATTCTCAAGTACTTCGTAAGTATTTATTTCTTTTATCTAATTGACACTTTCCTAGCCAGACCATTCTTCCTGATTAGCATTTTAATAATTTGTTAGGGAAAACACTCTTGGCAATTTCCTACACTTAAACAATAATGTCAGTCTATATTACAATTTTTTATATCCTAATGGTGGTATAGTTTCACATTTTTGCTGAATCGATAAGTGGTCTTTATTGCATGACTCTGTGCACCGTCTTTTTCACTGATGAGGAGCAATTTCTTGAGATTAGATCAAAACTGTTTTTCTTAAGAAAATCATGTTTTTAATTGAAGGGTCTCGAATTTTTTACACGTAAGTTAGAATTGTCACAAGGTTATCCATATCTTATAAGATATTTGACTTCCAAGTTGTTGTTGCTTAATGAGGTATATTTTTAGCCTTGGTGGATATCTACCCTTGTACATATCGGTGATTTTGCCTCTAACGTGTTAACTATGAATGCTGCGATGGCAGTTTGAATTACGTTACTTTTACTTTTCACTAATTAAAATCCTGCATTGATAATTCTCATTCTTTCAAGGAGCTTGCTAAGACTTATTTCCTTTGAGTTGCAGATTTCTCCATATTTATGATAGTCTGCTTCCCCCGGGCTGCCGATCTTTTGAAGACTATGTAGAATCGCGTCTTCTTTCTATTACTAGCAAGTCCGAAAATTATGGCTCAAAATCTACTCCGAAAACATTGATTTCAGAGTGGATTGTCTCAACCCAACTGCTTTGTCACGCTAAAAAGCAAAGAGGGAATGAGATAAATGCCAAGAAACCTCATCTTTGCCCTGAATCTACAATTAATAAACTCTGCGCGGCAATGGATAACTCTTCTTTATCTTTTGTGAGTAGTATTTTCGGTATTATTCGGAGATCTGCTTCACTAATTTCCTACTGATTGCCTTTCGTTTCAGGCTAGCATTGCTGGCTCGGAGGCAATGACTATCTGTCAACAGAAGATCGAGCTACTTCAAGTAAGTTATGCCAATTTATGCGCAGTTTACTTTATATGTAGCATGGTATGCTGGTATCGTTTGGTATACTCAATAATAGAGGCCCGACATCCTTTGGGATTGAAGCTAGTTTTTATTATAAACTATATGCATCAAGGTGGTTTTTCCTCACTTAGAGTTCAACTTGTGCTTGGATACTGATCATTACTATAATGAATAAGCCTCCATCGGATTTATTAATGGAAATAAACTTTAATGGGCTTTATTTCAAGGGTCTGCTTTTTCACCGATTCGATTTCGTACCAATTTCCCACAATTATCTTCCAAAAGGAGTTTCTCTTGCTGATTGAAACTTATCCTGTAGAGAATTGCTTTGAGTAACAACTTTCCATATATAAGCTTTACATTCACATTCTATCGTTGGAACAAAGTTAGAGAGAGGGCGTGTCGCTTTCTTTATTTACTAACATCCATTTACTTATATTGACTCGAATATGTGATGAATAAATGGCTATCCGCCGGTTAGGCACTAATTGCATCGACAGGCGATCTCACATATCCGAATGCGAACGCGGGTGTTCAATGATCGATAATTATTTTGACAAGAGGTGAAAATTGTGATGTTCTCTCTAGTGCAACAAAGATATCTGATTAGCTTTCCCAACAGGTTTACTCCTATGTTTATTCGTTGCTGACGTTTTCATTCTACTCTATAACTTAGAACCAATTATTCTTTTTGCTCTTATTGGATTTGGGGCTTCTATTAACTGATTATGTGGTTTCAATTTGGAAGTTTAAAACTCTTCTTGTGTTCTATTTTATTCGTGGTTGTGGGTAGTGATCGGTGCTATTTTAAACTAATCAGGCTTCTTATGATGTCGAATTGTTTCGGGCGGTGGTTAAAAACGTAGCTTACATCCACTGGAAATTGGAAATTTGACGTCTAATGAAGAATGCTGTTCTTCTATCTGATGGCATATAAATAAGCTTACTTATTTTGAAAAGTGTTTTACGCTTTCTATAGCTATCCCTTTTTGACGCTAAGTATTACTTTAGCATTATAAGAGAATATAAATTTAGATGGTTGAAATTATATAAAAACGTGTAAACTCATCGGGATATGACAAAGTTAAAAAGTGTGTACTCCAAGAGCGATTTGTTATCGCTTTTTATCTAGCATATTTACATTTATTCATGTTTTATATTCTACCAGTCTCACAAGTCAGTACTTGAAGCCCAGGTTGCAGCTAAACTCGAGGCCCTGCGCATGGCCGATGCATTAGCCGAGGACTACCGATCGCGATTTATGATCGCCGAAGGAGAAGTTAAACGTCTCCTGCAACTCCAAACTACCGCTCTTGCCGTTGCTGAATCACAACGCGTCGCGTTAGACTCTGAACGAGAAAGGGCTTTCCTGTGGGTTTTCATTGTTTTTAAATAAATGTGCTATTCATTATTCGTGAGGGGTCTCACTTCTAAGAGTGTCTACTAATTTGTAGTTAGTAGGGTCTTATCTTGCATGTTTGATTTATAAAGTAATATATGATTTCTTCTTTTTCTCTTTAAGCGAGTATTCTAGAATTGAATAAGCTTTCGGCAGTAGCATTATTTCCATTTTTTGCTTATTCACTGCTAGGTAGATGTATTTCGAGTCGATTAATTATTTATTGGACTTTCCACATTGCACATTTCCCAAGAAATGATTTGAGTCTTGATTTCTGGTTACAACTACCATTAGTCTTCATTGCCGTTTCCAAGCTAAATATTTAAAGTTTTATTCTATTCATTAATTTTTCTCCTCAGCATTGATCCTTTCATTTTCATACTGTTGTCATGATCTATTGTCCTCTCTTTCCTACATTCTTTTGAATGAGCTTTCGGGGTGTGCTAAGGCTTTTTTTTAAAGGATTGATTTTGAATGACGAAATTTTATTCTTTTTCAGTTATCTCTAACTAGACGACCTCTAACAGAGGTGTAATTGATTCCATGCTTCAATAAAGGGATATAAAAGTGTCCGATTAATATTGGTCTTAAAGGTGGGCTAACGACGAATTCAGGAATTCTGTTAAATTTCATTCATTATTTATATTTTAAGTTTTTTTTCGAGGCAAAACTTCACAAATCAAGTACTGTACATCGGTGTCATTACCGCTGAGTTCGTAATCCTTGGTTCTATACTCATCAGTGCACATCCAATCAAGAAGTATAATAGGATGCAGGTTTCTCTTTAGATGATCTCCATAGTGCCACGATCTCCAAGATTAATATTTCATTTACTAGGATTTTAGATATGTGAATTTCTTCCCCAAAGAGTAACGTCTTCTACCACATCAAGTTCAAGCAACTGCATCTGTGAGAATCACGGAATAAATTTATAGAAAAAGTACTGAAAGAAATTGGTGTTTTTTTCGTTTTCTTGCTCATTGGAATTGTAAAGGTTATCAGTTGTTAGGTATTTTTGTTCTGATCATAGATATGGAATTATCTTCCCTAGAGGAAGTACTTGTATACATGAAATAAATTGCTAAACAAATACGCCCTAACAAGCTTGATAATTTTACCGAAGTTTTGTTCCTTTGCATAGTGCTTGGAATTAATCTGGTTCGCATGTCTTAAAATCTCAATGTCGTTTATTCTCTAAATATATGATAAGGGAGGGATATATATCAAGCAATTGTACTGATCAGTGAAAGTTATGAAAGTTCTTTCGGCTGAAGATTGCACCACGCACCTTCTCGTTAATGAAGGTTTGTATTCATCTTTTCCTCTTTTTTATAATCACTTTTTTATTCAAATCATCTCGAACATTTTTGATAGCTATAGAAAGTAGGTGTTTCTAAAGTGGCATCAATTGTACTAGCTGCATAGCCAGCTAGTGGATATGGTATTTGAATATATTTCAGATCCCAATTCGTGGAAGTTGTCCAAAGTGCTTTAGGCCAGTCGTGTTTTTTAACAAATTATTTCATTTCTAATCGTACGCATTTAGCAAATTCTATTTTGAAATTTAAATTGATCCTCTCAACCCATTAAATGAGACCTGTTGTAGCTTAAATCTTAACTTGTTCGGTTCTTGCTTCATCTGAAATTTGTTTTTTCCCTATCGTATATATGGTGTTGCCACTGGCAACATAGTGTACGCATCAAAAGCTGGCGATGGGGCTCTAATCATTGTAATTATATAATTAACATAATTCCCCACCAATGCATAATTCGACTGGTCCAATTCTACTTGATTGTGTGTGATTATTCATCGACGCCTTTGTTTGTATTCACGCGTTTCCATGATCGGCTCTCATCCTTACGACATATTTGAAATATGCTTAAAAATCAAAATAAAAAGCTAGAAGTTTGTGCAATATCCGTCCTCCTGGCTTCATCATTATGTATCCCATTTATATTGTTTGCATTTAAAAGTATGTTTCCTTTTTCTTCCTTTACAGATATAAAGAGGAAATTCAGCGTTTGTCAGAAAAGCTGGCCTCCAAGGATAAGGAAGTTGAAGGTATTTCCACTGAATTTTCATCAGTTTGGTTAAATGTATCCGCGCTTTTTTTGCTTTTGCAGCCTTTCAGAGCAAACTGACAAGTATGCGGGAACAGAATAGGACTATGGATGCGACCATTGAACACTTCCGAAAACAGTTGGACGAAGCAAAGCAGGTTATTGATCAAAAAGATGCTGAGGTAAGAACCTTAAGATTCGATATGATTCTAACTTTCCATTTTGCTCTGTTCATTTGAGCACTTTCTGCTCCATTTGGGGGATAAACGATGAGATGTGATAAATAGAGCAAACGAACTGTTCAAGAGAGGACCAAATTTCACTCTTGGTTATTACCTCTTTTACTATTACCTAGTCGATAGAACATATTATCGTATTTTCGATGTTGGTGCCGTTAGAAACCCGGTATTAAGCTTATTAAACTGGGTAGAAGAGGTTGGTAGGAAGTTAGAAAACGTCCAAGGTAGACCTTTTTATCTCTTTCATGCGTTCGTTTTGCTTTACACATTAGATAGTTTGCTTTTAATTAGCCTCAACAATTCCAAACTGTCAATGTTTCTTCAGGAAATGAATCAATTAGAAGCAGAATTTTGGTTGTTTGACTTTTGCTTCTTAGGGTTAGTTTCGTCCTCAAATTTCAAGGCTTCTTCTCTGGTTCCTTGAGTGCTTATTTACTTAGGTGCTTGGTCCCTCTAACAGACCAAATGTTGCATGAATTTATTACAACAGAGTTCTGTTTCGGTGAAAAAGGTGATTTAGTATCCCTCACCCTCGTTTGCTCACGGGCTGAATCAATTATTTATAAGCCCAGGCCTTTAAGTTAGCGTTGTTACCCCGCCCATTCCCTAGTTGAATTACAAACTTTTCCTTATTGGACGCTTATTGGAATTCTTCTGAATGTTTTTTATTAGGAACTTTGTATGTGTTTCAGCACACAAAAGTTTGAAAGAAGACTGTCTCACTGGAGTCATCTGGATGTCTCTGTGGGTTGAACAGTAATGGGCCATGGGTATACAAGTTAGATAACTTTGACAAATTGATTAACATCTTCAAGTCGATTGAACCAATTACGTTTGATCTAATCTACCGGTTACTCCTAGAGAGCTCATTTACTAATTTTCGGTCTCTTTCTGCTATTTTAGATTCTTCAATACAATAATATGGCGAGAATTATCAACGAACTCACAGGCAAGGTCCAGCCAGTCAATCTATCTAGCTCCAAGAATACCTGAAAGCTGATGAGCTTTTAGTCGACTTGTACATTATTAATCTCACTTCCCTGTTTTCTCTCGTAAGACTTCCAATCTCTCTCTCTCTATTTCGATTTTGGTTTACGTCTTTTCTCCCGTTTATATGTGATAGATAACATTACACTGTGTCAAACACTCTTTGTATATTTGTAATAAAGCTTACTAATTTATATTGAAGTAAATTTATCTTTCTTTTTCTTCTCCTTTCCCAAACACGATTAAGGTTACTAACTATTAACATTGATATTAACGTTGGTTACCGAAGAGGGGTAGACCATTTTTTCCTGTTGATAGAGATTTTATATTATTATTTTAACAGAAGGTTTGTTGTGGGGTCTGCTCTGTTGTCAAGTGGCTTGCCGAATCGAGGGGCCACCGCACTTATGCTAAGTGCTGCATCACACTTTAGTCAATCAAGTAAAAGTCCGATTTGGTAGTTTAATAGTCTATATTAGTTAAAAGTGCATTCGAATTGGGAGAGGTAAGAAAGTAGGCTGGTTGTCAATGCTAACTTTCCTAGAGCTTAATTTAAGCCTTATAAATTGAAGAAAGTTAATCGTAGGGTCGTGTCTTCGCAGCTATATCCTCTGGGGAATTCCGAAGCCAAAACTCAATAGAATAATTCGCTGATAAAAGAAGTACCCGAGTGGGGAACTTTACGCAAGGTCACTTAGTTAATGAAGCCTTTAGCTTGACCGAGCTGTCATTGGTCAAATCAATCAGTTATATCGATTCCAATTTCTCATGGACAAGCGAAAACTTGAATCTCATAGATTAGATCTAACTACCACGCAAATTAAAGCAACCTATTTTCGAAGGAGGGAAACTATGTGAAAGTTTATGCCTTCCATTAAAGAGATTAGAATTCGCTTTTATGGGGTATTATTTCCCATTTCAGCGCACAAAAAATCTTTCCCACTTTCCCATTTATGAGATATTATTTGACCACCCGACCTAGCGAAGTAGTACAGTGAGTGGTAAAATATCCGTGCACTACAGATGAGAAATGCTACGAGTTATTTTTTCGCGAAGTCGTAAAGTGAAAATTTGTCCGCGTTTACTTTGAGCCTATGATTCACTTTGATGTGCTCATACCTCCGAATTTATGGGCGAATCAAAATGGGCAATAATCTGTTTGATGGCCCATTTATTTCCTGTAATGAGATGGACGCAATTTTAAATAAGGCAGAGCTCACTCATGGCAAACTCCATTAAATTAATTGAAGCATAGTTAATGGGTAGAATTAAAATCCACTAACTGGTGGTTTTGAACTTCTGTTTAACCGATTTAAAAGCATTCATACTCTTAGGTGAAATCTTTATTCTTCATTCACTCAGGAATGCAAAGTAAAATCTGCATTTCTGACTTTAATAATTCAACTATAATTAAACAAATTGACAAAACCTCCCAGTTGTTAGGATTCTTCGGGGTTTTCTACAAATTACAGTCCTAAAAGTTGAAAGTTTGAAATCAAAAATTTATTAGCTCATCGAGGTAACGAAAAAGAAGGCATGCATATTTCGAGCAAAAGTCGGAAGAGAAAATAGATTAGAGTGAAAGAAATTGAACACAAGGGAAAAAACTAATAGACCAATGTAAGAGAAAAGAGTGCAAGAAAATACGAAAGTAAATATTTATCATCGTGCAAATTTTAAGCTTCCTCCTCTTCCTCATCAAACTCGCCCTCTTCTTCAGCTGTTGCTTCCTGGTACTGCTGATATTCACTAACCAAGTCGTTCATATTCGATTCCGCTTCGGTGAATTCCATCTCATCCATGCCCTCACCTGTGTACCAATGGAGGAAGGCCTTTCTGCGGAACATGGCAGTGAATTGATCACTAACACGTCTGAATAACTCTTGAATCGCAGTACTATTTCCAATAAAAGTAGCTGCCATCTTGAGTCCACGGGGGGGAATATCGCAGACAGCAGTCTTTACATTATTTGGTATCCATTCAACAAAGTAACTGGAGTTCTTATTCTGCACATTCAGCATCTGTTCATCTACTTCTTTCATGGACATTCTGCCGCGGAAAATTGCAGCTACGGTGAGATACCGCCCGTGTCTTGGGTCGCAGGCTGCCATCATATTTTTCGCGTCGAACATTTGTTGAGTCAATTCGGGTACAGTCAAAGCGCGATATTGTTGACTTCCTCTACTTGTAAGTGGTGCAAAACCCGACATGAAAAAGTGAAGCCTTGGGAACGGCACCATGTTAACGGCTAGTTTACGGAGATCCGCGTTTAATTGACCGGGAAAACGTAGACAAGTTGTGACACCCGACATTGTTGCACTAACTAGATGATTGAGGTCACCATAAGTGGGTGTTTGGAGTTTCAGAGTTCTAAAGCAGATATCATAGAGAGCCTCGTTATCAATACAGTAAGTTTCATCGGTATTTTCAACCAATTGATGTACTGATAGTGTTGCATTGTAGGGTTCTACTACAGTATCGGACACCTGTAAAAGTAAAAGTATTATTACTATCAGCAATACACTCTACCTTTGGAGAAGGGACCACTGAAAATGTATTCATTATTCGATCGGCATATTCTTCTCGAATTTTAGAAATCATTAATGTTCCCATTCCAGAGCCTGTTCCACCGCCAAGAGAGTGTGTCAATTGAAATCCCTGTAGACAATCACAGGATTCCGCCTCTTTCCGAACAACATCAAGAACTGAGTCAACAAGCTCGGCTCCCTCGGTGTAGTGTCCTTTTGCCCAGTTGTTACCGGCACCACTTTGTCCAAACACAAAGTTGTCCGGTCTGAAGAGTTGACCAAAAGGCCCTGCTCTTACGCTGTCCATGGTTCCTGGTTCGAGATCAACAAGGATTGCACGAGGAACGTATCTACCACCTGTCGCTTCATTATAGTATACGTTAATACGTTCCAATTGTAGATCAGAATCACCATGGTAAGTGCCGGTGGGATCAATTCCATGCTCATCTGATATTACTTCCCAGAACTAAAAGGGTATTAACTTAGAGATAAATATACCTTTGCACCAATTTGATTCCCGCATTGACCTGCCTGAATATGCACAATCTCCCTCATCTTGTAGACGGATATATCTTAATCTGCGCCAATTTTGCTATTAATAAAATCCATGCATCAAAACTATTCAATGTCATTAACACCACTTTCCAATTTTAAGTGATAAATGTCATCATTTAATTGTCGAAAAATTTTAAGTTAATTTTAGTATTATAATAGGTTTAAAACGTATCAAATAATTTTTTAAGTTTTTAATAGCACTTCTATTATATGCTTTTCTTAGTTTGGCAAATAAAAACATATATTTGACGACCAACCTCTATAAGCCGATTAACTCATCCTTATTTTCAATGATATTATTTACGCTTAGAAATTATAATATAGAATTTATTATTTTATACTATGGATATTAGCCAAACACAATATTATGAATTTTAATTGAGGAGAGTCCCAACTTATATTTGGTTTGAGGGGCACAATTATTTGATTAAATTCCATATTAGCAGCTCCGTTTACCTATTCCTATGTCTGTTATCACTAATGCTTTATTAAGTGTGCTACGTATCTCTAATCTTCTAAAAAATTTAACGGGACCATACTATACATTCCATAGTTGAGCATTTGTTAGCGTTCACCAACGTACTAGGCTCCTCATATCTATTTTTCTAAATGAACTTGCTTTCTATCAATTTCAAAATTATTTCTATCAAACAATTTTCTACAAAGCCCTTAAATATTTTTCAAAAATTCATTAATAACACTATTGGTCGCTTTATAACTGCATCAACAAAAATTAAGCAGTTGTTTGCTCATTTAATGGTTAGATTAACTTAGATCTAGATAAATAATGAATCTTTTAAACTTTCTACTTTTCGTCATAGCTTATTTTGTGATGTCAGAATAAACTCAATAGTGTTAGTTATATTGTGAATGTAAGTACTTGTGCTAAAGTTCCACTTATCAGGACATATTCATTGCAATTGACCTAGACTGTTTTGAAAGAAACAGGTCTGATCATGCCCATATTGATGCCTTTGACTACAACGAATCCTTCATAGCGTTGTGAACACGAACAACTCTAATGCATTCCGATCAATGTCCATAGAGGTTTCTAATTCATCTGTTGCGTCATAGATTCACAAAAATCGTTATGTGTTAAACGAGAATAAATTTTAATTAAAATTTAAAAATAAATATTTTATGAGTATTAATAAGAACACATGAAAATTATTAAAATAGATGTAGGTCTTAAGTAGCTCTATTTAAGTAAACTTGTATCATATAACATAAGTATGTTAACGCTTATACAATTTTTTAGATCGTGTGCAGACCAATTGCGTCAACTATAATTACCATGAAAATAGAATTAGTATCGTCAAAATCCGCATAAAATGCATTCTGGCCTTTATTAAACCAGTTTTGGTGTGCAATGAATAGATTCAATATTAGTATGTGGTAAATAACGAAAAGTCTTATATAATAAATTGTAGTGGTTTCATGGCCAACAAGTTATTGTTTGATCAGCTTGAATGATTGCATTTAAATAATGTATTTTACTAAGTTTATAAAGATATTCTAAATCTATATGGAATATACAGTCATATATGCTGACATGAATTTCATTTTTTAAATTTTTTTGAAGGGTTTTAAAATTTTTCTTAAATCAAAGTGGACTCGTTATTTAGATTACAGTTCTATTATTGGTCCTTAAAAAATGAATTCAATGCAACCGTCTTATTCACGTATAAACTGCAAAAAATGGCATTTAAAATTACCAAAATCATATAAAATCATAATTATATGCCTATTTTAACACTAATATTTTTTAATTATAACATACTCGTAATTATATGCGTTTATGTTAATCAATTTCATGTTAGCGCCACTTTTGCATGTTCTGTGTTTCTTCAAGCGTGTTGGTTAAACATGGTACGTTGTAATGTGCTCTCTGATGCTCTCAAATCGCTTAATAATGCTGAGCGCAGGAAAAAGCGACAGGTTTTGATTCGTCCCTGCTCGAAAGTTATTATTCGCTTTTTGAAAGTTATGCAACAAAAGGGATATATTGGCGAGTTTGAACAGGTCGATGACCATCGTTCTGGAAAAATTGTCGTCCAACTCAACGGCCGCTTAAATAAGTGCGGAGTTATCAGCCCCCGTTTCAAAATGGGTGTTCAGGACACAGAAAACTGGACCCGCAATCTTCTTCCCTCTCGTCAGTTCGGGTATGTTTATATTCTTTTTTTATTCTCTTAGGTATCTCGTTCTTACTACAAGTGCCGGTATGATGGACCACGAGGAGGCAAGGAAGAAGCATGTGGGCGGAAATATCCTAGGATATTTCTACTAGTTGTAAATGATGTTTTTGCAATATACGTGATGAAAATGGTTTCATTTGTCTTTTTTAAAATTGACTCACTATTTTACATTATTGCAAGTTGTGGTAGTATAAGACTTTATGAGCTTTTCGCCATTTTAGTCTTCATACAATCATTTTCATATTTAATTGCATGCGGAAACGTATTATTTTTTTTGATATAGATTTTAATAGCTTATTTTGTTGCTATTAAATCTTTTATTGTATACCACTTGTGGCTTACATTCCTTTGCCTATACTGAATATATAGGTTCATTTCATTGCTTTATTGCAGTTATATTGGACCCTTTCTCGAATTATGCCGTGTTTTGGGGTGTAATTTTTTTCTTATACAGCGATTGAATATTTGGTTGTATTATAATCATAATGGGCGATTTCTACATTTGTCTCTGTTCGCTTTCATAAAATGCGACCGATTTTTTTCATGATTTGGCAGTTTGATGATATCAATAATTTGGTTTATTTTTTTGTTATTCAATTTGCAGTCTGTTATTATTCATGGGGTATTGTGAGGTGTTTCGGTGATTGGGTTGATTTATAATTTCTATGTATTTTGTGGAGCTTTAAATATTATTGGTCCTAAGATGTATTCTGATGTCAATTTCTTGTACTCGTTTACTAATGCATGGGTATTATAATCTTTCAGAATATTAGCATTAGTGTACGGAAATAATCACCATTCGTCAGTTAATGGCTGTCAGTTAATTTCGATACTGATGTTGTTTGTTTAAAGGATTTTTCAAGGTGTTTGATAATAATTTAGCTAGTTGATTTTTCAGTTCTGTCTATTTAAGAGTGTCTGAATTGGGATTTGTATTTATATTCTTAACTACTATAATGAGTGCGTCGGAGTTTCACCCAGTCTTATCGGTCTGGGCTGTGCGAAGCCGTCTAAGATACATCATGCTATTTTTCCTCCACACTTGGCTGTGGTTCTGCAACCTTGTTTTGCTATTGGGTTCGGTTATCTGCATTCTATATCTCTGCTTCGGCAATTTTGTAAAATCCAACATCCTTCGACCCTAACTGAATGGTGAAATAAATAAGTACGAATGCTTTGATTCAAATTCCTGTTCTTTTAATCAGTTAAGCGAGGTGGCTTCTTTCTTGAAAGCCAAGTGGACTATAATTTCATATTTTTGTAATGGTTGGGCAAAACTGTCAAATGGGAGTCACAGCTGCTTGATCCTCTGTGAGAGGGCATGACTATCCTTGCTAGTGCAATGTAGTCTCCATTTGCGCATTTGTAATTGGGACAATCACTCTGCGATTGAGCCAGTCTATATCTTAGTGTAGTTAGGCGACGGACTTGTCTACGAATGATGATTGCTGACTTGCCGCGATCAGACAATCATGGTGTGAAATCGGTTTCATATTTTCCTTCCACGGCATGACATTGCTTCTCTTTCCTATTATATTATGACTAGCAAAAGGCTGAAAATGCATGGTGAGCACAGTTCGATCAATGGCTCAATTGTTCTGATTATCCAAGCGGCAACAATTCAGTACAAGTTGAGGCCAACTGAATTTGATATCTATATCGTAGTAAGTCATGTGGAACTGAACCGAAGTTTAGCTAACCTGTGAGCCTTTATTGTCAACTCATGGGGCAGCATCTAACCAAAGTTAAAAAGACCAAGACCTAAAATTGCATTACTGACATTAAATGGCGGTTTCCTGCCAACGATTTTATTTAAGTAATTTCGTACGTGCCATTTTTTGTCTAAGTAACTTCAGAACCCTGTACAAGTTTCAGTCTACCAAGTTCTCACAACCGGCACAAAAGATTTCAAACCCATTTGCTACAACAACACAGGGATTAATTTTATTGTATCATCAATAGCAGTTAAGATATAATACAGATAAGAAGACTGAAAGAAAATTAACTCTCTTTATCGTCGAAATGCAGCCACATCATCTCCAGAGTTTTCACTAAATGGATAGGGACGTCCATTCACCTTGCAGTAATGCTCAATTGCTCTCTGATAGGCTTTCACGACCTAAAAACACATATTACTTATTGCATAATCAGCAGACAAAAAGAGTAAAATTGGGAGACGTCTACTATTTTGCAGTAAACAGTGAGCATTTCAAAACTTACTGATTGCCTAAGCTTGCTTCTCCTTGCCTCCTGCAGTTTCTCTTCATCAAGAGAAGTGTTAGTAGCAAGAGGAAAGAGTTTTTCACGAGGAAGTCGTTGCCAAGTGCGCTTTCCGTCGAAAAAGACGACCAAGAAAGTGGGACCACCAACAGGGGGTGGTGTAGTAGCAATGGGGGAGTTTGATGTACCATTTGAAGATGGACTAGCTGGAACTACGTCAGGACCGCCGCCACGTTGATTCAGCGGGGATGCCACTTCTCCCGTTTGCCCACTTAGGAGAGATTCTGGAGGTATTGGAATGGGAACTCCATTTTGGGTGTACTGGTCTGAACTGGCTGTCGGATCGATCACCTAAATATATGCGAAAAACTATCATAACGAATGTCGAGTTAATAAAAGAATAAGGTAAAAATTAGTAGTAGTAGGAGGAGGCGTAAGCTTAACTTTTCGTTTTGAAAAGAACTTCAAAAAAGTCCTGTGAATTATTTAAAAAGTGGGGTGCGCAATAGACTTACCTCCACGAGGTGCACCCTGGACAACGTATACTTATACGGCAAAAAAGTCTATTGGTCGGCAGTTGACTTCTGACTTCAAACTACTATGGCCCGACTATTTGTCATATTCGCCCCCTTACACAGTACTCATCTTACCTTTCTATGCCTTTGTGTTTGTCCGTCTGTCTCTTTTACAACTGTGAATCACTCTTCTGTCCCCCTTCTCGACTTTTTGTCTCTTTGATATTCCTCCTCCTCTCTATGAAGCCTGAAGTCAACTAAAGGGCTAATGATAACTCTCAAAACGCCTGCCATTGGATATAAATAAATAAATTTAAAAAGTAAATAAAATACTGCTATTGTCGTTTAAGCTCCCATTTCATCACCTCTGAATGGCTAAGTATTTAGGCAAGTAATCTTCATAATTAAAACTAGCATTTTAGTGCGCTGAAGTCTTCTTCCTGACTTCCTACTCTTCGCAGGACCGGGAGACAGCAGAGGCAAATATTGATAGTAATTGGACTTGGAGGTCCGATGTGAAAGAATGAGTCTTGTCAAATGGCAGAACAATCGATGAGCGTCCATAAACCTCGCTATGACGTGAATTACTATTATGATGAGCCAATGCCACTATATTGACAGGTAAATAGTGGGGAAGGCGTATTGCATGTACTGTACACAGGATACTAAACAGTATAAACTGTTGCATCTTATTACTAAAGATGGCAGAATAAAGAGTTATAGGTCTGAAGGACTATAGTCACAGTAGTACAAGTGGCGAAATGTTATAGTTTCAGCTAATTACGAAACGCGTGCATTACTTACCATAGCAGGATACCAAGGTGAGCCTCGACATTTGGCCCAAACCAGATCAAGATGCTCAAAATTCTTCAAACTCAGTCTCGAAGATATCTCCCCGACCACAGTAGGAGAAACAGCTTCTGTGCCATCTTGGGCAATCATTTGCAGCCTAACCACTTTTTTAACCTTTTTGGATGACTTGCTTTTAGCCAATGAAAGAGATTTCTGCGATTTCTTATGAGTGGGGGTTTGATTTAGGGTCTCTTCTGGTTTCGCCTTTCTTATTGGGGACTTTGGGGTAGGCGTTTTAGGAAGCTGAAAAAGAAAAAGGCAATTATTGCTTCTGTAAAGTGAAACTCCTGTGCATTATATAGTGCTGGGAAGTCTGCTTTCAATCAGTGTCCACCTGCCAAAGTACAGTTGAATTATAAAGTGTAATAGACCACCCTCTGCAATTAAGTGTGTCTTGGTTGTCTATTTAAAACATTACAATTGAAATAATTTTAAAATAAGCGATTTAATTAATATGCATTCTCTCTGAAGTCCTTTGAAAAACAGTATCCGACATTTTACGAACATTAGTCTAAAAGGTGCGTTGAAAACGTGGAAAGTGTCTTACCTTATCCTGGGAAGGAGGAATCAATGGTTTAACTTCAATCTTATCCTGGGAGCGACTTCTCAGAATCCTTCCACTTGATACCTCAGCATTACTATTATTTACATTTTCCCCGCTACCAGTCATGGCCATGGTATTCGTTCCTGAATTCGAGGTAGCTGCGTCACCAGTTGCGAGAGAGGCCTGGGCATCTTCAGAATCCTCTGTCTCATCCAAGGACTCCTCGCTATCCTCTTCTTCGTCTTCTTCCTCTTTGGCCGATGTTCGAGTCCGGTACATTGTGAATGCTGGACGCGCGCGATCTGGCGAATGAGGAAGTCGAAGAATTGGAGTTGGTTCGGTGGATTCGGGTTTAGTGAAAACAGCAGCTTCTGTTACTCCTAGTTGTTGAGAGGTGGGGGAACTATCAGTAGAAAGGAGGGAGAGGCCTCGAGGGGCACCGGATCTGCGCAGGCGTGGAGGTTGTTGTGAGGTAACTGAATGCGAAGGTGGACTTCCTCGAACACACCTGTTAAAGGAAAAAATACTTCGCGACTGAGTTTAAGGGAAAAGTTGAGGCGTTACGGAGCTTAGGCGAACTAAACCTTGATAACATAAGGGGGTAATTTCTAGGTGGCTATTGCTAATATATTACCGATTTCGAAATCTCAGAATGCAGTCATGCTTTTTAACGACATACCGCTTTTTCGTTGGTGGCGACTGTTCATTGGTAGTAAGTTGATTAGCAGTAGAGCCAGAAAACGAAGATGAATCCGCAGGTTCACGAGGTCGTAATCTAGCCCGTGGAGTCAATTTGGAACCCGTTGTGTTGGGGACAGTATCCGGCTCGTTTCCAGGTGTCTGATCCTCCTCCCATATCGGTTCCATCGAATAGGAAGAAGATGGTTCATCTGTGAGAATATATAACTGCTCCTTTTCAAAGGCCTTTTTGAATATTGGAGCACACTAAACAAAGCAAAGAAAGACCTTTAAATCGATGCTCGTAAACAACTTCTCACTTGCGTCTTCCGGCATCTTCAGCAAGTACGCATTATCCTACTTCAATGCGCGTATTACAGCGTTTTTTGTCTATGTTCGAACGAGCTATTCCTTAAGGCCATGCCAAGCTACCCTACGCAACACAACTTCTCTGTATTAAGACAATAAAATATATTCACTTATTCTTCCATCTTCTAACTTTGATGCCACTGGGGTTAGCGATTTAGTGGCCTGAACAAAATTGAATTATTACGAACATCTTGTTTATTTTTAGGAGACAATAATAGTATGCCGCGACAGACTTTATATCCAATTAATAGCGTGGTCACTACTGACACTGCTGACATTGAAACCAAAATACATAGGAATAGAACAAGATACAGTGGAGTAACACATTAATGCCCTTAATTAGGGTAAAATCAGTTCAAATAAACTAGCCTGATAAGAAACAGAGAAGATGGACTAGAATATCTGGACCAGATAGAGATCATTTACTTCACTCTATGTAAATGATGTTCATGAGTCAACTTCACATATATTTTTATACTGCCAATAACGCAGTCTGATGTGATGGGAGTCAAACTTTCTTAAATTGTTAGATCAGAAGCCAAGTAATTGAAAATATGAAAATTTCTGTACTATCGCAAAGACCGATATAAGATTGGTAGTCTCGTTCGAAGCGCAGCGCTAAGGAAAATTAAATTAGAACCGTTAAAAAAAGACGGGTTTATTTTTCAAAAAAAGCAATTGTGGAAGATTTATGAAATGAAAATTGATGACAGCCAATTGTATATCCAAAGATAAATGGCTAGAAACCTTAAGTCCAGATGCGAGTAAATCATAGATATTAACGACTTAAACCAAAAGTCAAGAAATAAAATAACTTGAGTAGGCAAGCTGAAGGGAATGGGAAACTGTTCAACCGCGAAATCAATTTGACCTCTCGGTGGGCTCTTAAATCGTGATATACAAAAACAACTGCTTGATTGTACAAATACCCCTGCTTAGGCAGAGGAGAAAGAGGCTTCCTGGCAAGAAAATTTCCCAACTAATCAAACTTATTAGGTGGGGTTGGCATCACCAGCTGTGGGTCGCACACGTGAGCTCTAATATCATAAACGAGAACACTAACTGCGCGAGATAAAGCTGCTACACGACTCAATTATTAAATAAACAGGATCCAGTGTAGATCACTTAACGAACAATCCGAAAGCATAAGTTATACTCAAGCAAAAGTGAAAGGATTCAAAGGAAAGATACAGCTTCAATATTTAAACATTGTATAGGTTGTAACACATACCTGGTCAGCCAAAGCAACAGCAGCTTTATAGTAAACCGTATCCTTAGCGTTATATTCACAACAGTTGCTCACAATCAAATCAAAGTGTTCCTTCACTTGAGCTACTGTGAAATACTCATGTTCAGCATGCTTCTTCTTCATGGTAGAAAAATCCATCGGGTTTTTGATAATCTCCAAGTAATCAGGAGCAATATCTGCCGTCACAGGTTCGCCAAAGAATCGCCGTGTATCCTTTGCCTGTAGCCTTTTAATAAGCTCCCCGATGAATTCAAACGTCGGCTGGATACGCACATTGAGCTGAGTACGAGAATTTAGGACTAATTCTCGTTTGACTCGTTCTCGTTTTCTCACTAATTCACAGAGTAAACGAGCTCTTTCCAGATCATGACGTAGACGCTGGGTGAAGATTAATTGAGACCGCATTTTCTCTTGCTCTTCGCTACTTGCGGCTAAGGCGGCTGCGGCAGCTTCACTCTTGGGAACAGAAAGGAAGCGTCAAATATTCAAGTCACTTAAATATAACCAATAGAATGAGCTTTTACCAAAGATGCTGCACCACGAAGCCTTGAGGCAGCTTGAAGACGTTTAAGCAATGGAACTCCACGTCGAGCTTCCCTCTTGAGTTTCCAGAATGCATAAACCCGCTTGAAAAACTCCTCCTTCCCTTTAACAGGCCACGTAAACTCTGAAAGGATCTCCTAAAAGAAAACGTCACATATTGTACAGTCGATGTTAGAGGGATGCAGATAACTTAACAAAGATCACTTACAGCCATTTTTGACTTGGTAACAATAGGAACGCAAACCTGGGGTTTGGAGTTGCGTCGCTCAGCTAAAACTCTGCGAGCTTTGTTGATGGTTGTTCTCTTGATGGACTCTTCATCCGGTTCATTACCTGCAGCATCGTCGTCTGATTTGGCATACATTCCCTTGTTTGCATTGGCCTACACACAAGGACTTTAAAACTAATATACTAAATAACTAATGTTAGGTAAAGGATAGCATAAGTGAGATAGCACAAGTACCGAGACTCAGTATGAAATATGCACTTCCCTTTCATGATATCGTCAACATTTCGAAAAAAATAATGACAATTTAATTGTGCCGGAATCAAAAAACTAAACACAGTGCCAAGGTGAATTAATGGCGTAAGAGTCAAATCATACATCTGATCGATACCCACGGAATGGAAAGAAAGGAGCGCTCGTGAAGTCTCTAAAGATCTACCGAACATGTATTTCTGCTCTGGAATAATTGTCGATCATAATTCACTGAGCTGATTCTTACTTTTAGTACGAATATATCACTAATCCCACATTTACCTTCATTTGGAAAAATGATTTTAGGACAATCATTGGTTTTGAGAGAGGTATAGCTGGAGTCTAAATTGATCGGCCAATTTAAACTAGTTATTTGTGGTTAAGGGCTAAGTGGCACATAGTAGAAACCAAATAAAAACTTGATATTAATTAAATTGAAGATTATTGATCATTTGATCGTAAAATATTAAGACGAGATGACGAAATGCTTATCATCCGAGAGACAACTAATTTCGAAACAGTTATTGCTGTCCGAAAGTTAAGTACTGGAATATACGTAAAGAAGACATTAAGAGACATCAAAATTTTCACATAATTGAGGGAATAAAATAGGAAAATACTAAATTTTCAAACCAGACAAAGGATCTCAAATCTGCCAGTTTTATCAATACTAAGACATTGAAATATACTTTCACAAAATAGATAAAAACGGCAACAAGAAACATGACTTCAACAAACCTAAAAGGTAAAATGATGCGCATGGCCTTCATTTAAGCGAATTGGCCACTTAGGCAATATACGTAACAGAATGTCAGTAAGTGATTGATAAACTAACCTTGAAATGCGAAGGTGGACAATGCATGTCACAATAGGCCAGTTTCCGAACTCCCAAATCATCTGGATCATCGCTCTGTTCAATTTTCATATACAATCCAGCTTGCTGAGCACATGTGACATGAAAAGCTTTGTAACAATTCTGTTTATGGCATTGAATGCAAGCTCCCACATTTTTCTGCTTGCAAATGAAGCACCTTAAGGCCCAACGTTGAGGTGAGATTTTATCAATATCATCCAGGGGCTCCAGAAAAGTTAAATTGGCGAACATGACCTCTGGAATCCACAAACCACAAATGACATGTGCCCAACGGTCGTCGGAGGTCTTTTTAAACGCCCCACCGGCGTTTGGACACAGACAACAGGATACAGGTTCACTGGGAGAAATAAGGCACTTTCTGCACAGCCAAGAACCTTCGGGTATATATGGAACGCCATAGCAATCCTGATGCACGGCGAGGTTACAGACATCACAAAAAAGAATTACGTTAAGGTTTTCACAATTACCGTCCTGACAAACTGCGCATACAGCGTCATCTTCCTCGCTGTTATTTAGCAGCATTGTTGTCGAAACATTCGCCCCATTTTCTCCAGTGGTTCTAAAGACAGCTTTCTTCTCAAATCGGTCCAGTACCCACTCAAGTTGGGATTGTTGTATAGTCTCAAAACCCTGATTTTTGCGGATTTCATTAATTTTTTCTAGCCAAATTAAATCCTCCTCATCCAAGTCGTATTCAACTATTTCATCCAATTCTTCAACAGAGCGTTCAATGAACCTAAGGTAGGCACCCTTGACCCAAGTTGGGGGTTTGCGTTGATATGCAAAGCTTGGGTCAATTTCGAATTTAGGAAGGGGGACATTAATAATTTGGGGCTGAGGCTCTTCCGTTGCTAAAGTGTGACCATCTTCAATTGGAGGTTGGTCAGGGAATTTTGATATTTTGTGCTTGCTTTTGCGTCTACCTCGATGAGTGGAAGATAAATGAGATCCATTAAGACTATTATTGACACTAAGAGGGAACTGATTTTCACTGGGAAGTGGTTCTGAGGTTAAGCGAATGGGAACATTGATACCACAACGAACGCTCTGAGGATTATCACCAGATAGGTTAAAAACAACATTCTTTTGAGAGTCAAGGAAACGCATCGGACGATACCGACTGTTGGAAGGTTCGGTTATTTCTGGTTTAGAAGTTTCTTCAAAAGTAATCCCAAGAGTATTTGAAATATCCACAGGATCAGGCGGTCTATGGCAATTCATGTGATTCTGAATAGCTATAAAATAAGACATTTAACAATTATCGGATAAGCATATTTAGTTAATGCGAAGAAAAGGCACAAACCTTTAAAATTTTTAAATGGCTTTCGTTTGCAAGGCTCCGCTGGGCATGTAAAAGGTGGTTTATTTCCACAAATTCTAGTTAAGAATTCGGGAATGTCAAAATCGACAGGTATATATGACATCTGAGACGCCGCTAAGATTGAAGTCCAGTGAGCTAAAGCGATACAAAAGAAAGCGAAAATAGCAACTTATAAAGCGAACAAGCGGAAGAATGATAAAGCAGTTTTCCAAAGAATCCAACTAATAAAGATATAAAATAAGGAAATTAAAATGTAAAAAGCAAATGCAAAGTGTAAAACTAACAAGCTAAGACAAGTTAGGGTAATGCGAACAACTTATTATAGTACTAAAGGTCGATTACGTTAAAATGACAATAAATAAAAATTAATTTAAAATAAAAACACAAATGGGAAATTCTTAAAAAATGTATAAATAATTCTAAAATCAAAAGAAATTTATCAATAAATATTTCAAAAAGCTTATTATAAATTAATATATTGCAAAAAAGTGTGTATTTAATCTTATAAATGACTTTCCAATGTTCCTAGCGATTTTAATTCTTAGTTTTCATTTACAACTACTACGAGGCAGTATATTATAATGATTAAACTTACATCAATCCTCATTGAGCGGTATTTCAAAATGATCATTTTGTTATATTTTGGACGGATTTCGTGACTGGGTTCCTGTATGTGTTTATTTTACCAAAGTTCTACCAAAGATGGTGAAATGATCCTAATTATTTTTCTTTACTTATAATTATTTGACTTTTTGTTTGTTATCCGGTGTTTTTTTAAAGTATTTTAAAATTTTATCTAATTATTTGATTTATTCATTTTTTTATTAGGCAGTATTGATTTGTGTGTATGGTCTTGGCTTTAAACCTAACTTTACTGTCTTATTTGTTATCTTAACTTTCTTTTATATTACTTGCGCATCTTTTGCTTTGCTATTAGTTAGATGACTTCAAAAGCTTCCAGAACCATTGGGGGCTCTTCTGCATCAAATTCAGATGGCAAATTCTTGGTGACTGTTCGACTATTGGAAGATGACAATTCGATAATTGTTTACATTCCTGTATGCTTTGATAATATTTTAATGCTTTTTTTATTGTATCACAATATTTATTAACTTTTTATGCTTACTTTTGAGATTAAAATCTGTGTTTAAGTACTTAATGTTATCTGGTTAATATTTATTTGCATTGATTTTCAGGAGGCAGCCAATGGTGGTTGGCTTTTGGAGGAGGTTTGTAGATTGCAAGAGGTCCTTCCTGAAATTGAATACTTTGGTCTCCGATATGTCTCCTGCGAACTATTATCTGCCCCAACCAAGGTAAATTCCCTATTTTTAAAACTGATTGGGCACTTTCCTCCAATGAAACAAACTTTTATTTTATTTATTTTCTCAGCATTGGATGAATCTCAACAAACCCGTTCGAACCCAATTAAGACGTGAGTTATTGCCTTTCCTAAGGGTTTATTCAGGTTCCTATTGTTTCCATTGATGGGCAAAATCTTTTTCCGTCTCCAGATACCAATCCACTTGTGGTTTCCTTCCGGATTAAACATTATCCTCCTGACCCTATCACTGAATTCAAATTGGACAAATCAAAGTGAGTTTTCAGTCCTTCCCCTTCCCCTCAAAATATACAATATTCTGTACTCGGTATCTTGCCTATTGTTAACGCCCCTCATCCAAATCCTATCCTTATTTCATTTCTGAATTAATGGAATAGGAAAAGTCAGAATTATTTTTCTCGAGCCTTAAATTTTCCCCTTTTTGCTTTTGCTTAAACGTGGTTGTTCTTATATAGAATCGACATCAGGAGATTTCCGTATATTCAATCGACTTTGTTGGCTTTATATTCGTGCTTTCCTCGCTGATATTTTAATGAGGTCTTTGTATTTGCATATCTGAACGTTTAATATAATATTTAGAATTAAATAATTGATGTGTATTGTCTTGATTTGCATGAAAACGGTTGATGTCCTACCAAAGTAAGTTAGGCAAACAAAAGGTTAGATTATAACTAATTGCCAAACATATCTTTGATGTTGACGGGCAAGATTTAGATAAATTTGTTTTACAAGGATATATATTTTTGTAACTGAATTTGATGTATTTTTACCTCTTTCATTTGCAAAGGTACCTCCTGTTTCATCAAATTCATCGGGATTTCCTCAGTGGCCGCCTTATTGCTCCACATAATGATATTATACTACTCGCCGCCCTCTTCATCCAAGGTAATTCACTGATTATCTTTTCATACATTTGCTATCGACAATCTAGCTTTAATTACTTACTGATATGTGAATCTCCAATTCTTAGGGACAGTGTCAAACACCTTAAGGGCTCATGTAAAACATATTGTTTTTTATACAGTGTTGGATGACTAATTTTTTCATCCTCGATTTGAGATAAGGCAGGCTACCTCGCTTAGGAGCATATCACTGAGGGGTAATTTTACAAATACATTTAAATATATCGTTTGTATAATCGAATAAACAGCAGTGTACCAGTTGGACGAATAGGGGCATCAAATCATAGCTTGGGCCTACTAACTGATTTGATAAATATATAAAGGCTACTGCTGAACCTATGAGAAGACAAAAAAGAACATAGAGGTAAAATGGTATTATGCAGTTTTGGTTCAAGTCTGGCAGAGCGAAAATGTGGAAATTAAGAACGACAGCGAATATGAGAGCCGGCATTTGCAACGAGTATCTTGAAGTTGAAATTTGCAAATGACAGGCAAAGTAGCCGTCACTGTGAATGAGTGGTGAGTGAAAATCGATAGCCTACTGGGTAATTTTGCAAATCTGCCCTTCTCTTTTTGAAATTTGTTGGGTTTTGAAAAAAAGATACTATAGTCTAATGGAAACGATTGCAAATCAAGTTTTATATTTTGTTTATTTTATATTTCATAAAGCGAGCAATTGAAGTCATTTGCTTTTCCATTATAACAACGTCTACATTCATAGTATTGCGAAAACCCCCAAAGTTATACCCTATGAAAGGTTGGTAAAACTAAGTAGAATTGTCCCTTACACTATCGTTAGAATCACTGTTACTTACGTGCTAAGGATCAACGAATACTTCCATCTCGAATACTCAGTTGTTTTAGGTCTTATAAAAGGCAAAGGTGGTTGAAGCACTCATAACGGAATGATATTCTCAGCGATGACAATTTATTGTAACACTCTTCTAAAGGTCTCTTGAAATGGTAACAGCTGAAAGGAGAAGATATGATTTCACCGAATGCCATGTTTAAATCCCCACCAAACTTACTATAAACAATTTCTCCTCTGATTCCCTTTTGAAACAACTGACTACTTTCGAATTATAATACTCATTCCAGTGGTTGTCGACTTCAATCGCAATCCGAAGAGCTTTAACTCCTAGGGAAATGGTAATAGTTGAATGAACATTTTAGAGGACTATTCTTGTGGTTTAAGAGAGGAGGTGGGGGAAGGGGGGGAACAATGGCATGTTAAAGAATTATCCCGCTTCGACTTACTAAAGTTCAGCGTTCATCTTTAAACTTCCGGTCCAGCCTTATACAAGTTAGCATCAATACACTTTGGTAGTAAGTGTTTTGTAAGTTTTGACTATTACTAATGGGCCATTCCACATTCCACAAAATGCATGCGAGAGGCTTACTCCCAACCCTGACCAATCCTGCACCGACTTGGCTTAGTATTTGGGATGGGTTTCGACTTCAGTAACAATTTGTCTTGAAGTAGGACGAATTCTTTGTGTTGACAATTAAGAAATGTTTATGTTTCATTGTTTATCTTTGTTGAGATTGGGAATGGAAAATTCGAATTTGAATCTTCTTGAATTGAGTGATGCTCTCAAGGTGTGATTGCACATTTAACCACGGAAGTGAGGGTTTTGGGAATGATTTTCGATGTTTGTTGGGGAAACGGTTTTCACCAGGGGGATCCCAATACATCATCATCGATCTGATTTTATCTCATTATTTAAATTCCTATTGGTTGATATAAACCTTTTTTACCAAAATCGACATCGCTGACTGCAAGGACTTAACTATGAATTCCTGCGATGGCGTTAGTGTCTTTGTTGAAGTTCAGGGTGTGATGGTGAAATAGATATGAAATATCTGTCAGGTGTGTTCACTTTCTGCAATGGGAATGGATTTTTTTGTCTTAACAATGAAATGGAATTTATTACTCCTAAGCAATATTGCACAAGTTGTCTACCAAGAACAAAACTTGTGAATGCTTTTCCTTCTCCATATCTGGACACGACGTGAATTCGAATACTTGTTTGTAAAATACCAGATTTATTTATTAGTACCCTTAGCCCTTAAAGGCCTAAATTTTGTGTTGAAAAATGATCCCTTCCGCTCTCAAGTGTGTCTCACAGCAGACTGATGCCGACGTGATGAGTTTTGAAGTAACATGCGAAGTTTATAGACGTAGTAAACACTTTTCAAATAGTAATAGAGCCTTCTGTTACGAGCCTTGTAACAATTAAGATTATTTTGAAAGATGAAAATACAGTCCTAAGGGCGTTAAAGGGTGAATGTCTTAAAGAGATTGCTGATAAATGAATTAGCGTCAGATTTGTAAAATCCTTTAAAATATTTCAAATTCTAGGTTACTGGCCATCTCATCTTTACTGTCTCCTCAGCCACAAGAAAGAATGTAGATTTAGCTCATTGCAGACTTCTTAGAGTTTGGTTCAATGCAGAACTAATGGAAACCAAAATTGTTAATAAAGGTTGAATGTAAATGAAAATACAGGCATTAGATCACGCGGTAGCCGAAATCAACAGGCGGTTTAAAATGAATCAATTACAAAAGGCTGCAACCGATATGCAGCTGCGAATCATTGAAGTAACATGACTGTTAATTAGTAAACTGATTGGGTCGCCATACTGAAATCGTTTCGATTGGTTTAAAATTAGGTAACAGAAGAGTAAAATAGTGCTTCACTACTGTCGATTAAGGGAACCATACTAATGTCACATTCGTCATTATCGAGTCATCTAATTTATAGCAAAATATTCGCACTAGCTTGAGCAATGTATCTACTGTAATATCTACATTCTTTATATTTCCTTAACCAAAACAAAGTTTATGTAATAATAATAATGTAGGATTTAATGAAACGCAATTTAACAATTAGCAGCTAATACTTTTGTTAGAAATTCATATTATCGATTGCAGACATGTTCGGGTTTTGCCGTGTTAACAATGGCTCCATTAGTTTCCTCTATATATCCTAAGTGGCTAAACGAATTGAATCATGTATATATTGTAAATCATATGAACAAGTTGAACCGTACTTTCTCAGATTTTAGGGAAATATTGACGCCATAAGATGTAGGGTCAAAATTAATAGTCAAGAGAATAGGCAAGGCTTTGCTAAGTAAATCAAAGGTCGAACATTAAAATTCGAACTTTGTAGAGAGAACTATCGAGTGAGAAAATATTGTTCAAGTCAAATCCGGAAAGTACACGAAGTAAGATTTGAGTCGCTTTAACTTTACGCCTAAAATCTTTCCATTCCTTCCCGTAAACCCTCTTTGTACTTATTCCACTTGCTTTCCCATTGTTAAAAATAGGAAATTTGGAATCTTTTCGTGGGTTAAAATATGATACCATACATAATAAGTTTGCTTACACCGTGGGAACTAATGTGATATTGGATTTTGACCCAGTTGATAGACTATGTAGATGATATTGATGTCCAATCTCATAATGTAGTTTCCCTGGGAGACGCTTCGGAAATGACAACGACGGCTTCATCAGATTCTAATAGTCTTGGAAGCACAAAAGCAACGAATATTTCAACAGAATCCTCTACGTATCTCTCAAATTACCGAGCACTTCACAATACTAACAAGAAGTATGAGCCGGAAATACTGGAACAACATCGCAAATTGGAGTAAGTTCCCATTTTCTGAATAATTTAACCATTTAATGTCCAATCACTTGTTCAGTCATGATATTAATATTATAGAAGGATGTGTGGCCTCTGGTAAAAAAGTTGTATAAATCTTTCTTCTACATACCATTTTCTTCTGAAATTTACACCAAAATTTTGGGTATAGGATAACGTTAGCAGAGAATAAACTAGAAGAATTGATTGGGCTCAAGATTGACAGTCGATTAAAATATTCGAAAGTGTTAAGTATTGAAAAATAATTTAGTTTGTGAAAATAGCAGTCTATAAATTTGATTCTTCTTAATTTTATTTAAATTACGCCAACTTAATTGAAGAGGGAAGTAGTTTACATTAATTTTAATGCTTAAATGAAGAATATCGTATTGTGTACATACTTATCCAATCCTCTCATCAACCTAATTATCAAATGACAGTCACTAACGCTAATTTATCAACAGAAATCGGTGAGTACCTTTATCGCGTTTCAGTATCCCTCAAATTCCCTTTTCTTTCTGTTCTCAGTATCACCCTACTCCCTTCTCCCTTCCATTCATATTTCAATGGGTTTGTCAAATATACACTTGTCAAACACAACTATTGACCTTGTCAATTGGGAAGGGCTGCTGTATCCTGATAGTCTTTAGAAGGGTAACTAGTTTTTTAAGAGGACTTTAGGTATAATTTAGGCTGACTCCTTCAGCCACTTTAGTACCCTTGAAGCAACTCTCACCACGTTTAATCAGTGCATATGCCTCCTTAGTATCTAAACCTCGACCTACGATATGGAAGACGTGCAATCCGTCACTTCTGAATCAGTTTTCTAGGAATTGGAGATAGTGCGGCAAGGCTCAGTCGATGTTCTGGGAAATTGGTTGTAACCACCAATTGTATTGTAGGCATCTCCTTGGAGGTTGCCTCGTGTGTTCTCAAAAATTTACGAAAATTTATATATTTTTATATATTCAAGTAAATAATTAACATGGCATGCACGGGCAGTATTCGAGATAAGTCCTCAAGTTACTGACTGCCACTATTAAGAGAATAAAATTTCTATTTCTGCAGCATCTTTTCTGCCCATTAAACATAAGTGCCACTTGACTGCGCCTTCAAAATGTTCTACACATTCGTATTTGAAAATTGGGTGTAGATGTTTAAGTTAAACCTGAGTTTCTCAGTCAGACTTCGATTAATCAATATCCTTTGAAAATTGGGTTCAAAATCTAGATCCAAAATTCCCTCTTCTTGAGAGGTAACGTTGACCAATAGACGCGCCCGAAAAGCCAGCGGTTCCTTGGCCAATAGTCATAGGCAAACGCCCCGGATGCGAAAGATCAACCTCTCTGAAGTTTTTTGGGTCAGCATTAGACGTTTTAGAAGACAAATTTCCCTTTCGAGTGGTCTCAGAATAGCTACTCTTTGCTAAATCATGTGCTTGGAAGAAAGCAGTGCTATCTTAACTATTTTAAAATACACTTTTGATCACTGTTCGAAGTTCGTTTTCGGTTGTAGAAAACTTTGTTAACAGCAGTTATTCTAGAAATTCCCTTTGTTGTCTACGAGATTTAGCTTATTTTAGTAGAGTTGAAATCTTTTCACCCAAGGTTCTAAAAAATGAAGGTCATATTTGTGAAATTTGTCCAATTTCAACGAAATTCGCATTCCGAGTTGTTAGGTTCATTTAGAATATTACTAACTTTTTTTCGTTTCGAACTACTAGTAACTTGTTCACCTCTACTTAAAATGATCTGGATCTTTCAATACATGCTAAATCATTCATCATGTGTTATTTACTCGGAATATGAACCTGATCAGTTACCACCTAACGATACCGACTTGTTTCTCATGATTTCATGATTATTTTAGAAGTTGAATTTGGCATCGAAGAGAACTTTGTTTCTCATCATTCCTTTATTATTATTATTATTTTTTCAACTATAAATCAATCCACTTACTATTTGTGTGCGGACCTGTCACTAGCCAGTGACTTCTGATGTTGACGACAACTAAGTTTGCTTAAACTAACTCTTATTTCTATGATTCCCCTGTGTTTGCGAAAAAAGAATCACTCGATTGTTTTAAATCATTCCATTCAGAAAATAATATTTCCATGGCTAAAAATTAAGAAAACCCCTTGGAGTCATTTGTAAAAATATCGATTCATTGAAAACATGAACAGATCCACTTAGAAGTTTTGCGGCATAGTTTCTAATATATGTACGTGTACTTTTAAGTCTCAAAAAGAAGACTTAAATGTATCGTACTAGGAAGAGTACTTTTGCCTTCGTTAAAAAGTATCCCCATGAGGTATAACTTATGAACTCTGAGTTAACGTTATCTAAGTGCTCAACATAAAAATACTGGAAATGTTAAAACCCCGCTTATCGAAACACGCACGGTTCCATTTTTATCGGCTGAAATATTTTTTTTGCAAATTTATTTATATCAAATGGCAGGCTATTTGATGGTTATCATTAGCCCTTTAGTTGACTCCAGGCTTCACAGAGGAGGAGGAACATCAAAGTGAAACAAGTCGAGAGGGAGAGGGGGAACAGAAGAGAGTTTCAAAGATGTAAAAGAGAGAGACACAAAAGTGGAAAAAGGTGAGGTGAGTACTGTGAAAGTAGTCGAATACGACATACAGATGGGCGATGGTAGTTTGAGGTCAGAAGTTAACTACCCGTTAATAGACTTTTTTGCCGTATAAGTATACGTTGCCCAGGGTGCACCACGTGAAGGTAAGTCTATCGCGTACCCCACATCAGTATTTATTG